CCTCTGCAATCTGCCTCCTGAAAATGGTGGAGGAAACAGTTCAAAGAAGTGAGCTGGTTAGAAGCAGAACTGCCCATTGTTTCACTTTTCAGACCTCAATTCATAGTAAGCAATGGTCCAACCAGAAGAGACAAAAACACAAGACAGGAACACATAATAACAGTAAGGAAACAAATTAGGGGTGACCACCATGCACTCATACACCTGAATGGACCAGGTTATTGCAGTGGCATTTCACACAGATCCTGGGCATTGGATCCTTTGTGTCCAAACAGAAGGTACCTTTAATCCCAGCACTCAGGAGGCAGAGGCAGGTGGACCTCTGAAAGTTCAAGGCCAGCCTGGTCTACAGAGTGAGTTCTAGTACAGCCAGGACTGTTACACAGAGAAACTCTGTATCAAAAGACTAAAACAACAAACAACAAAAACAAAACCCAAAAACAAATGAAAACAGAAGGCTTCTTAACCAGACTTACTTCTGTAGGTGACAGAACAGGCACTCTCAATGAAGAAAATTTAGACAAGGGTGTTGGAGGGCCAAGATCTTCTCTCCCAGAGCCCTGGACCCAATCTGGTTGTGCATCTCCTAGAAGGAAGTCTGTGCTCACCTACTGTGGTTCACAGTTGCACTGAGACCTGAGGGTTAGTCAAACTGTTGAGGGTCCCTAAAGGATCTCACTGAGGCCTCCAAATGTTGCAGGGTAGAGACCCCAAAAACACTCAGCAGGACCAAAATTCAAATTGAGAGTCTGTATTTAGCCAGCTGGCAATTGCTTGCAGAGAAAGGAACACTTTTCAAAGAGCAGCCTCAAATGAATTTTACAAGAAACTTTTAAAGGCAAAGCACACAGAAAAACTACATCCTGATTGGCAGTTGTAGGGGGAAATAAGCAAGCAAGCTGTTTAACATAAATAAGCCAAAACATGCAGTTAGCTGGGGCATTTCTACACTGAGTTTCCAGAATAGGATTGGGTACTTTTCCACAGGACTTTTCACATTGGGCATACAAAAGAGGGGTGGGGTCAATTCCAGCTTAAACCAAAGATGGTTCCAGCTGAGACAAGGAGGAGGAAACTTTGCTTGCTATCACAGACTTTGCCATTTTCTTGGGTCAGTGGTGTCTGATTGGGCAGTAGAAGGTTCTATGGGTCAGGTATGTCAGGCTGGCTCCATCTGACTGGTAGCATATCTAGGAATTCGACTCTGTCCCTTCCTCCTCCTCCCCCTGGGACACCCCAATGCAGCCCTAATCAGCCAACCTGAAGTCCTTTCTTTCCTCCTTGCTGCAGGAGAGGACGGAGTCTGTCTCCCCACACCACCAGGCTCAGGAGACCCAGAGACACTTGCATCAAAGAATTTGTCAGAGTACAAAGCCAGAGTAGTTTGTGGATATAACACCTCAAAGTACCTCAAATGGTGACAGACATCACCATGTGGCCCGCAAGTCAGTTGAGGCACCACTCTGGAAATCTATTTGTTTAGCCATCTTTCTCTCCCTCTCTCTCCCTTCTTCTTCTCCCCTTTCCCCACTTTTCCTCCCCCCCCCCAATTTTTTAGATAGGGACTTTTTATGTAGTCCTAGCTGGCTCTGAACTCAGGGATCTGCCTGCCTCTGCCTCTTGAGTGCTGAGATTAAAGGTGTGTGCCACCATGCCTGGCTCCTTTTTGTTTGAGGCAAGGTCTCCTAAAGTCCATGCTGGCTTGGAACTCATTATGTGGCCAAGGCTGGCTTTGAACACAAATCTTCCTGCCTTCGCCTCCTGATCACCAGTGTGTGCCACCATACAGTGTTTCTTTGTTTGGTGGGGTTGTGTGTATGGGAGTGGTAATTTGGATACAGACTCGACTATGTAGCTCAGGCTTGTCTCCAACTTCCAATCCCCTGCCTGAGGCCAGCTAACTCCTCTAATTTCACTCCCCCTGGCCTTTCCCACAGTTTCCTAGGACTGAACTGTTTGCCTCCTGGAGAACTTCTGCTAATCTTATGAAATCCAGCCGTGGTGGTTAATGTGAACTGTCTAGTTGACAGAATCCAGATCACCTGGGAGATGAACCTTTAAGCAGCCTCTGGGTAAAATTATCTTGATTATATTAATTTATGTGGGAAGACCTATCTTAATTGTAGGTGAGACTTTCCCAAGGCAGGAAAGACAGACAGGGAGATGGCTTAGTAGGTAAGGGCATTGTAGCCAAACCTGAAAACCCAAGTTCAACCCTTGGGACCCATAGGTGGAAGGAAAACCAACCAACTCCTGAAAGTTGTTCTCTGACTTCCACACATATATCATGTTCCCTACAAATATATAAAATGTAATTTAAAACTTTAAAAAATAATAAATGGTGGAACTGAGCTAAGCACCAGCCTTCATTTTACTCTGCCTACCCCCCAAAAAGTTTCTCAGCATAGCCCTGGTTGTCATGAACTCATGCTGTAGACTGTAACACAAGTTCTATTAGGTCTTAATAATAAAAACCCAGAATCAGATATCAGGGTAAATGCCGAAAAGTTAGAGAAGGGAGCCAGCTACAACAAAGACCTCTTACCTCTATTGAATCCGCAGACCAAAGGGGCGATCCTTTGAAAGAGATCAGCCTGCCTCTGTCTCCCAATCCTGAGTGCTGGGATTAAAGGTGTGTGCCACCACTGCCTGGCATCTATGGCTAACTAGTGTGGCTAGCTCCACACTCTGATCTTCAGGCAAGCTTTATTTGTTAGATCACAAATAAAATATCACCACAATAGACCAGGCTAGGCTGGCCTTGAGCTCAGAGATTCATCTGCCTTTGCCTCCTGAGTGTTGGGATTAAAGGCGTGCAACACCACCGCTCAGCTACTCTTTGCTTTTTTATTAAAAAAAAAATTTTTTTTTGAGACAGGTTCTGTCTTAGACAGAGTTACTATTGCAATAACGACACAGAATGACAAAAGCAAGTTGGTGAGGAAAAGGGTTTATTTGGCTTACACTTCCACATCAGAGTCCATCACTGAAGGAAGTCAGGACAGAAACTCAAATAGGACAGGAACCTGATGCAGAGGCCATGGAAGGGTGTTGCTTACTGGCTTGCTCGGTCTGCTTTCTTATAGAACCCAAGACCACCAGCCCAGAATCCCTCCTGTGCCAAGCCTGCAAGGCTCCCCAGACTGCTCCCTGCTACTGTCACTGAATGCCCCCCAAACCCTCCTCCCACTATTGTCCACATACACCACCCTACTTGTTTCTCAGTGGTTGAGCCTCCTCTTACTCCTTCAGCCGAGCCTGAAGCTAGAGAGGTACTTGAAGGTTGCAAGCACAATCTCTCCACCAGACATACCAGCCAGAAGGCTGTAATATAGAGCCATCAGGAGGTGAAAGCTAGGACAGTGCTACCAGAGACAGGCTTAGAGCTCCAAGCCCCTCCAAGACAGGAATGACTACGGGCCTCAGAGGCAGAGACTGATGGTTTAGGGGGCGGTGTCCAACCTTCAAACATCCAGAGATGTTATCTCCAAAATTCACTTCATTATTATAGTCAAGTTACCAAACAAACAAACAACAACAAAAATGCAAATACAAAAAACATCCTCAAGGCAGGTGAGATGTCTTGTCAGGTAAAGGCACTTGCTGTGCAAGCCTGACAACCTGAGTTCTATCCCCAGAACCTCCAGAAAGATGGTAACAGAAAACTAATTCCACCAAGTTGTCCCCTGACTGCCACCTGCATTGTGGCAGGAATGCCTACACACCCAATAATAAATTTTAGCATGTGCCCCATGGGCTTAAAGTTGAACACACCTCCCACCTCCTATTGCTTACAGCCAGCAATAGCAGCATTAGTAGTGGTTATTCTACAGCTACTAAACTCTGGGTGCCTGCATCCTTCAAGAGCTGGCAGTTCCCAGGAACCTGCAGTGACCAGCCTCTTGCCCCGGCCTCCTGCTGCAAAAAAAAAATGCTGTTCCTGCTTCTAGAGAAAAGCCTTTTATGGGTCCTAATGTTGTAACATCAGGAAGGAGCAAAGGGTGTTAGGGCAAGGGTGTAGCACTCAAATGGAACATTGTATCTATACCAATCACAGCAGTTTCCAGTAAATGACATCCCACTGAATTCCAAGGGTTGAAGATGGTGGCAGTCAGTGAAGGCATCTAGCCTTGTGCCTGACAGGTTGTCTAAGGCAGTTGTGCCTGGAGCAAGGCCTCTTAGGGCAGGAGCATGGCTTATATACAGTGGTCCCTTGGAGTTGGCATGGTCTTAGCATGCTCCCCCAATGCAGGCTTAGGTATAGCTCAGTAAAGTGCTTGCCTAGCATGCACAAAGCCCCTGGTTCCAGTCCCAGCACCACATAAACTAGGCCTCAGTCTGGGGGCCTGTTACAACATGAGTATGTACAAGCAGCCACCCCCACCAGGGGCCTGAGGTAATATGGTAAGTGGGGAGCATCTCCTCTGTCCTGGGCCAGGGGTCTACAGTCAAGTTGGTGGTAGTTTCAGCTGCCATCGGGTGTATGAGCTGGGTTTTAGCTGTGAGCAGGTGAGGGAGAGGAATGTGGAGGGTGAGGGAGTCATATGTGTGATGACTGATGACCTTATATGGAGGGCACTAGCTGTGTTCTATTGCCTCCAGCCAGGAGACCCATAGGAAAAAGTACCACTGTCCTGGGCTTTCACTAGTGGAACTCTGCCATATAAAAAACTGGACTGAAATCTCCTAGACCTCATGATCACCAGTAAATGAAAAGCCTGCTGCAGTCACACCGAGCACAGGGACTGTCTTCTAGGCTCTATAGGAGTCCTGTGCCTATCCAAATATGCAGTGTAGGGTTTTTGAGACAGGGTCTCATGCAGCTTAGACTGGGCTTGGACTCAGTAAGAGACCATACCTGGGACTACTCTCACTCAGCCTTCCAGGTACATACACCACGACACATCTGGCTTTTTGGTTGAGATGAGGTCTATTTAGTCCAGGATGGTCTTAAAATTCAGCAGTTCTCCTGCTTCAGCCTCCAGTGTTGGGATACCAGGTATGAGCAGCATGCCCGCTTTATTTTGATGGACAGGGACTATACATCTCTACACTCCATTCTGGCTTTGGGAGTCTGGGGACCTCCACACACATGCCCATAATTCTGTCCTGTTCTGGCCACACCAAAACAAACTCAAGCCTGCCACTTGGCTTTGGCTTAGTGAAGCCTTGATGAGTCTTGTGGCAGGCAAATATCCCTCAGGCCAGCCTCCACTTAGCACGTGACTCAAGATTCTGTGGGCTTCCTAGCCCACATCTTCTAGCAAACTAGTACTGCCTCTGCATCAGCTACTGGAAGGCCATGGTCCATGGTGGCTACATCACACATTCCATCACATCATGTTCCACTGTCTGGTTTGAAACAGTTTGTACAGGGACCTTGTGACCAGAAGGCATGTCAGCTGGATGACTAAGAAATGATTGTGGAATTCAAAAATAGGAAGCTAAAAATATGCAGGATGGCTAGCTTCTAGGAACAGGCGGGTCTGTGGTTCTAACCCTTGGTGGGGGATGGGCAAGAGCCAAGGTCCTGCTAGGAGCTGAGGAGTGAAGGGCAGGCAAGGTGGACAGTCACCTGTGAGTGCAGGGCTCTGACTGGCCATTAACAGGGGGTGGGATTGTGCAGAGGTGTCCAGGGACAAGACTGGGCACAAGCTGGGGAAATGCAGAGATTTGTGGGGTGTTGACTCTGAGAATACTCATGTTTTAATCCCCCCAAATGGCTGAAGGGATTCTGTACATAGGGATAAATTCCTCTGGTGGCCCACAAGCCCTGTAGCAGCAGCAGCAACCAAGACCCAATACTAAACTGTCACTTGAAGAGGGAAGGGGAATGAAGCAAGTGACACAATAAGGGGACTTCAAAAGCCATGGAACATTCTCGTAAATCTGGACACAGGCCTACTCCCATCTGAACTGAGCTCTGGAGAGCCATTTTGTACTCCTGAGTTGTTTAAAAAAAAAAAAAAAAGTGACATCCAAGTCCATCAACCTGTGACTTGCCACAGGACACTTAAGAGGCATCAGCAAGTCTCAGGAGGGTTGCCCAGGCTGCCTAGAGTGTGGGCCTAAAAGACTTGGGCCTGGGTAAGGCTACCACACTGGTAATCATGGCACTTGAGAAGCAGAGGCTAGATAATCAAGGAGTTCAAGGTCACTTCAGTTACTCTGTGAGCTTGAGGCCAATCTAAGTTATATCTGGGTTACATGATACCCTGTCTCAAAACAAACCAAAAACCCTCAAAACAGGAGGAAGGGGAGGGGCTAGAGAGGAGCACAGCAAACACCCAGAAGAGACCTTGGACAGACCTATGCGTATTCTAGGGACCCAAGATAAGAGGGTTGTGGTTGCAGGCAGGTGGGACACGGGGTCAGAGAAAACAGGATGAGTCCCCAGAGTAGTCAGGAGAGGCTTTGGTGGCCAAGAGTTTGAGCAAGACAGAACAGCCAGATGGATAGGTGATGGGCTTGGGGCTGGGGAGGGTGCAGCCCAAGGAATGCAGTAGTGAAGGGACCAACAATAATGGGGAGTGGGGTTGAGGAGAGCCTAAGTGTGCTGAGGGGTCAGCTGCCTGGTGGGGTGGGGTGGGTAGAGCAGAAAGGGGGAAATGAAGAACCTTTGTGCCAAGAAATGGTTGATCAGTATTTGAGCACAGGCCCCAGGCTGGTCACTCCTGAAGCAAACACTAGGTTTAGGACAGTGAGGTGCAGCCCTTCACTCTGTCAGGTAAACCCTGTGTCTAGGAGCCTCAACTCCAGACATGAACTTTTGAGATAGTGTCTTTCCACATAGTCTCAGCTGGTCTGTAGTTTGCTATGTAGACCAGGCTGTCTTCAAACTCACAGATCAGAGATCCACCAGCCTCTGCCTCCCTGAGTGCTATGATCAAAGGTATACCCAGCCAAAGGTTAGAAAGCTGGGACAAGGAATGGTTATTTGGCCACCCAGTGTGGCAGATAGGGTCCCCTGCTGGTGTGAAGCAAACCAGACAAGAAATCCCTCCACCCCATTCACAATTAGCACCTAGGGCTGTATAGACACTTCAGTCAGCCTGCTGGACTTCTGAGCAGATTAGAAGGGTCCATAACATAGTGGAAATTCTGGGTGATAAGGGTATTTCCAGGTAAAGACACTTGTTTTTGTTTTTTTGTGAGGTCTCATTTGTAGCCCTCATTCATGTTGCCATGGAGTGCAGTTCTCAACTCTCAAGTGCTAGGATTTCAGAGTGAGCCACTACATCTAGGCACTTGCTTAAAGACCATGGTGAAGCAGTGGAGCTGCCCTTTATACCACAGCCCTTCCCAGAGGCAGCAATTTTGGTAGGTAGTGAACTTTATAATTGGTTCTTGCAGGAGGTGATGTGCCAGGGTGCAGTGTGCCAGGCTCCTGCAAGTTAAGTACCATTTGGGGGGTCAGGAGCTGCTCTCTGATGGCCTCCAAGGAAATGAGACAGATGTCCTCATGGCCAACTGTGAGGCAGCCCAGTGCTCTGAACTGAGTTGGTTTCCTGCCCCAAAGAACAGCAGGAAGGCTCTCAAGTGTTCAACATCTGTGCCATTAGCTCCAACTTCCTCCTTGCAGGACCAGAGACTTCTCTCAGGGGAAGGAGCAGCAGTGGAGAACATGAAGGGGAAGCTCCATGTGTCCCCCATGCTCAGGGAGCAGAGATTCTATACATACAGTTTTACTTCAGGAGTTGGTTCAAGCTTGTGAGCAGACTCTCGCCTGGACCAACAAGGTCTTCTTGACGCTGGGCACAGAAGGCACGTGGTGATGCATCATGGTGTGTGTCAAGTCCACAGTGACTCCTGACAGGAACGGCAGGCTTGTCACGGTGCTTCTGAGGAAGACACAGTTGGATCCCATAGCATTGGGGATATACCTTCATTCTCATTCACAGATCCCTGGGCCTGAAGTGCTTCTTCCACCAGGTCAGCCACTAGGTTCAGCCGGCAGGCCCGAAGTGCCTTTACCAGTCCAGCCACCGTGGCTTTCTCCCTCTCGGCAATCTTCCAGACTCTCAGAGCCTCCCTTACCTGCTCACTCAGGCTTCGGGGGTACCTCTCCTCAATCCCATCAATTTTGGCCTCAGACACTTTCAGCTGGCGGGCCAGTCTCTTCCAATCTCTCCCCACATTGTCGCATACAATGTCAAAGGCCACCCGCAGATCTAAGAGGGGGAAAAAAACAGCAGCATGAATTACAGAGTTTAAGGAAGTCTTCCCGTGGGCCGCCAATTCAGACCTGTGCACTTCAAAGTCAACACCATTAAGCCAGGGAGGCCGGTCCTTCGCAGGCAGAGACACTTAGCAGCCCAGGAGCTATTTCAAGAGACCTATATTGACCTAGTCCTACTCCCTCAGAATGGGTCACAGAGAGCTACAGCTTAAAAGAGCACAAACTGAGGACAGGCTAGGGAGTCAGAGTGGGAAAAAAAAATTAGGGCCACCTTCACACCCTCAATAATGGGCTGGCCATAGTCCCCCAAAGCTACATTCACTTCATTCTATACTATAACCTTTGCTGGTTTGACTGGGGACCATGAAAGGGCCATCCTTGCCACACTCTGGAGCCCCTGACAGGCACAGGCAAGGTGGAAGGAGATGACTAAGTGGTCCAGGAAGCCCTGGGCAGTGGCTGAGAATCCTTTACTGGATTCCTGCAATGATACCAAACACTTAAATCCCCCGGAGATGTGTATTTTCTTATGTATATTGTAAACACTGGCAGAAGAAACAATCTGTATTTCAAATAGTTCTGTGTATGAAACAAACTGTGGCAGCATGTGGTGCCAGTACTTGGAAGTCTGATTTTGTCTGCATTTAGGATTTCAGAGCTTTTGGCTATGGAGACCTTCACGGTCCCAGAGGCTCCTATAAGGAAGGATTAGTCCCTCAATGGTGGATCCAATCGTGGAAAGGAGAATGGATCATGACAGCTCTGAGCTCACCAGTGGGTCAGTGCATTGATTCCTAATTTGATGGTGTTACTGGGAGGTGGTGGAAACCTTCAGAGACAGGCCTACTCAGAAGCAGTGTAATGGCTGTACAGTTGGGGAGTCTATTTTGTCCCAAGCTTCTTCCTGTCACTCTGCTTCCTGGCCACCATGTGGTAATCAGCTTTGCTCCACCATGCCCTCAGCTGCTTTGATTTCCTGCCTCACTGCAGGCCAAGAGTAGCTGAGCCAGCCAACGAGGAGCTAAATAAACCTTTGCCCCTTTAAATGGCTTCTTGGGTATTTGTCACAAGTGAGGAAGAGTCTAACAGATGCTTAACCTGTATCCACAGCCCAAGGCCAGGCTGATATGGCTCAGTTGTGGCTGCTGTCCACTGTGCATTATGGGAAGGCACAGTACCTCCTCTCTGCTGCAAAACGGAAGAGCTGATAGCCAGGCATTGTGCACTCCGGACCGGGAGCTCAGCAACAGCACAGTTCTCCTTTGGCTAGGAAGCATACTGCTTGGACAGAGACACTCCCACTACGGAAATGGTGACGTGCAGCAAGCACACTTGACCTTTCCCTACACTCTTCAACTCTACCCTCATCGGGGTTAGGGTGCCTTTGCCACATCCATTTCTTAGCCGAGTTTTCAATCTACCCGGAGAGTGGGGATCCAAGCACTACAGGTGAGTTAATCTTGGTGCTGGGGCAAGTAGAAAGCACTTCGTTAGCACCAGCAGTACTCTGGATTCAACCGCGGCACTGCAAGTAAGACACGCACACGAACTCCCTAGTTCCGGCTCGCCCATCCGAAAAGTGGGCGTGCCCGAGAGTTCTTCGGAGTAGCAGCCTTCCCCGCCCATTCCCCCGCCTCTGGACCTTCAAATTCCCTGGCCTCCTCCCCGACCCCCAAGCCCACCTGCCTCCCCCGGTGCGGCCGAGGCCGCCGTCCCCGCTTCAAAGTCGTCCAGGCGTTGCAGGAGATCGTGTCTGCGCAGCGAGGCCAGCAGCTCACGCAGCAGCCCGGTGCGTGTGCGCTCCAGATCGTTCTGCTCCAGCAGCACTGAGAACAGGTCCAGGCCACTCTGCACACGCTCCAGCTTTCGTTTGCTCACGCGCTCACGGCACAGGAACTTTAGCTCCAGCAGATCGCTGCTCGACAAGTTGCCAGACACCGAGTGCAGCAGCACCAGGAAGGGGTCCATGGCTGTAACGCGCGGGGCCGGCCCTCAGCGATTCCACAGAGGAAATCACCGCGGGCTTTCCCGCCCAGTGTCTCGCGAGAATTCCAAACCCCACGCATGCGCCTCGAGTGTGGTCGTATCCGCTTCCGCCCGGACTGGCAGCGGCTGTCTTGGCTGTCTCGGTAGTTTCGACACCGGAGCCGCAGTGGCTTCAGCGCTTGCGCGCGATGCTTCCTGCGCCCGCGCCGGACAGATCGTTAGCCCACGGTGAAACCGGGATGGTCTGGGTGGGAGCTTGAGGTTCCAGGTTTGCTGCTGCCAGGCTGTGCAGCTCCCTGTGTATGGGGCTGGGAGGGCAGCTGCAGGCCACAGGGATGCTCACTTCGGTCGGATTGCATTCAAGCACGATTTAAAAAGATTTATTTATGGAATGGAGAGATGACTCAGGAGTTAAGATCACCGGCTGTTCTTTCTTTCAACTCCCAGCACTCACATGATGGCTCACAACCATCTGTAACTTCAGTTCCAGGGCTTTGACACCCTCTTCTGGTAGGCACACATACAGTAAGCGGACGAAATACCCATACACATAAAACATTAAGAAATAATTTGTTTTTGTTATATGTATGAGCATTTGTAGTTTTAGTGCCCCTCATGGGTGCAGTGCCCAGAAAGGCCAGAAAAGGATTCACAGTCTCTAGACCAATGGTTCTCAAGCTTCCTAATATGCTGTGTGACTCTTTAAAACAGTTCCTCGTGTTGTGGTGATCCCCCACCATAAAATTATTTTCATTGCTACTCCATGACTGCAGTTTTGATACAGTTATGAATCGCAATGTAAATATCTGTGTTTTTTGATGACCAGTGAAAGTATCATTAAATCCAAATGGGTCGAGACCCATAGGTCGCTGCCCTAGAACTAGAGTTACAGTTGGTTGTGAGCAGCTGTGTGGGTCCAGGTCCTCCGCAAGAGCAACAAAGTGCTCTTAACTGTTGAGCCATTTCACCGGCCCAGTAATGTGTATATGAACATCAGTAAAAGAGAGAACCTAGAATATTGTCATCAGGAAAAGTTGATGTGTGTCGTAGGTTGTGGAGATGTTAACTGTCCTGATTTGAACATTCAGGTCTACCTGTCTCTGCCTCCCAAGTGCTGAGATTAGAAGAAGGCTTGTGCCACCACCACCCAGGGCTTTCACTAACAATACAATGTTTCTCATAACCTCCTACAATTACTATGCATAAATTAAAAATAAAGTAGGGGCTTGTTCCAGAGCTTCAGTGGGCAAAGTGCCTGCTTTACAAGTGTGAGAACCTGAGTTCAGATCCTGATGCCCACATAAAAATCTAGAGAAGGTGGTGCCCATCTGTAATCCCAACTCTATTGGACACAAGTGGATTCCTGGTGCTCAAGACCAGCCACCCTTGCTGAGTGGCTGAGCTGCAGGTTCAGTGAGACCCAGTTGTTCATAGTATACCCAGCAGAGCCACCTTACATTTCTTCAAATTGATTTTTTTTTCCCGAGACAGGGTTTCTCTCTGTAACAGCCCTAGCTGTCCTGATGCTAGCTTTGTTGACCAGGCTGGCCTCGAACTTACATTGTTCCATCTGCCTCTACATAGGGTCTCACCATGTACCCCAGGTAGACTCCCGAGGTTGTATGGAAAGACAAAAGTTGCAAAGGTAGCTCAGGGGTTATAAGAGCTCTTTGCTCTTCCAGAGGACCTGGTTCTGGTTGCCAATACCCATGCTTGGCTGCTCACAATTGTCTGTAACTCCATCTCCAGGGAGTCAGAGACCCTCTGCTGGCTTCTGCAGGCACTGCACTCATGAGAGCACAGAAATGTACACAATTTTTACTAGGCATGGAGGGCTCATTATAGGAGCAGAAGCAACAGAAGGGGATTTAATTGGGCTGATATAAGTGGGGTCTGGGAGTCTAGAGTGGCTGTCTGCACCCTGCAGATGAAGAGACAGCTTCCCACTCCTGGAAGTTAGATGCCTCAGTAGTCCCAATCCCTGGAGAGCCACTGGGATGGAGTTTGTTGTCTACTGTTTTTCCCCCATGATTCTTTGTTTTGAGACAAGGTCTCATATTGCTCAGGCTTGTTTTGAACTGTCCCCCGCACCGTGGGGCGCAGTATGACCTTAAACTTCTGACCCACCTGTCATCACCTTCCAAATGCTGGGGATTGCAGGTATGCACCACCAGACCTATCTTATTTTTTTGGGGGGGGGGTTCGAGGCAGGGTTTCTCTGGGCTTTGGAAGCTGTCCTGGAACTAGCTCTTGTAGACTAGTTCCAGGTCTCGAACTCACAGAGATATGCTTGCCTCTGCTGGAATTAAAGGCGTGCCCCACCAACGCCCATCTTATTTTTGTTGTTGTTCTGGGTGTCAATCTCCTGTTAGATGTATGTTCTGTAAGCCTCCACATTCTGTGCACCATTTTCAGTCTGTTCATAAGATCCTGCAATAAAAAGTTCATTTTTAAAAAAAATATTTTAAAGGTTTATTTATTGTATAGATAGTGTTCTGCCTGCAGGCCAGAAGAGGGCACCAGACCTCATTATAGATGGTTGTGAGCCCCCATGTGGTTGCTGGGAATTGAACTCAGGACTACTGGAAGAGCAGCCAGTCTCTTAACCTCTGAGCCATCTCCCCAGCCCCAAAAGCTCATAATTTTGATGAAATCAGGTAGGTGTGTTTTTCTTTTTATTGTGCTAATAAAGAAAAGGGGACGGGGGAGCCTCTCCTGGTGTCGACCAGAGTATGCCACTCAAGAAGTATTCCTTTATCCCTGTCCAGAAGGGAAGAAACACAGAAGCAGTACCATGCAGAGCCCCGGTTCCCACTCCACGGCTGTGAAATGCCCAGGGCATACAAAATCCCTGGTCTTTGGCTGTGAGCAATGGTAGTGATGTTGGCTGCTCCAACGGGGAGAGCAAGGTTTCCAGAAGGATGGGCCTTCAGGAGGAAGGAATACTTGAAGTCTCTGAACCAGGGTGAGCTGGAGGCCATCCAATAAACAAAAAGAGAAAGAAAAATGGGTGGATGGGAGGCAGGAAGGGAGGATGACAGGAATGAGAGAAGTGAGGAAGGAGAGGGAAGAGGGAAGAGGACAGAGAAGAGAGGGGAGAGGAAGGAGAGGAGGAGGGAAGAGGAAGGAGAGAGGGAAGAGGAAGAAGGAGAGGCGGGAGGGCTTCAGCACTCTTACTGATTTCGTGGAGGTAAACTCGCCCCTTGTTTGTGCTGACAATGGTCAGAACTCTTGCCTTCCTTTCTCTAGGACTGTCCGTGTCTCTAAGTTTCTTTTGTCTTCTCTCTCTGCTTGTGTTGTTGCTCCACTAATGCTGGGTGGGGGCTCTCCAGATCTTTGTGGTTCCTTGCCTTCCCTTGGGGAGGTTTTTGATTTTGAGGTAGGGTCTCACTATGTACCTCTGGCTGGCCTGCATTCACAAAGATCCACCTGCCTCTGCCTTTGGAATGTTGGGATTAAAGGCATTCACCTACCATGCCCGAGAGAGAGAGAGAGAGAGAGAGAGAGAGAGAGAGAGAGAGAGAGAGAGAGAATAAAGATGGTCTTGTCTCCATTGCAGGGGACTCAAACTCAGAGAGATCCTCCTGCCTTTGCCTCCTGAGTGCTGGGATTAAAGGTGTGAGGCACCACCACCTGGTCTAGACACTCACATCTTAATCCCAGACCCTCGTTACCCAGGTGTTGTCCTGGCCCCTGGGCAGAGGCCATGAAGGCATGCTGGATGAAAAAGACTCTATAGATGCAATGGAGATGAGGCCTGGGGTTGGGAGATCTACCTGGCCTGCCTCAGAGGACCCTTCCGGGTCTGAGCAGTCAAGGGGTTGGAACTAAAGAGCCCTGAAGAGGAAGGGGCCCAGGTCAAGACTGGCGGCACAATTATGCCTTGGATCTTGGGGGCCTAGGGGCATCTGTACCAACATGGAGTTCATTTCACAGGGTCTCTTTGGTACTTATGCCTCACAGAGTTTCAGGGAATGTGTGGCTTCTGTTTGCAGCATCATTTGCACCCAGGATCTAGGTTAATGCTCCCTGGGTGCAGATCCCCAAATTGCCACCAGGGGGCAGAAGCCACCAACAGAAAGAGGCCAGCAGTACTTGTCTTGGCTAAGAGTCAGCACAGAAGTCAACAAAGGGAGGCTGGTTGGGGGGCACGAAAAGACAGAGACATCAGATTAACCCCAGTGCTCTGTTTCAGAGACTTAGCGTCTCCCACCCGAGTGCTGGAATTACAGGCACAAACCACCAGGCCTGGACAAACCTGGACATTTAAATGCAGATTTCCCTGGCTTTTATGTAGAAAATTTTTTTTTTAAATGAACAAGAAGTGAGCCTGTGGAGTGGATCAAATGCAGCTGCTTTATACTCACAACAGGCCCCACCTTTGGAAGCAGTAGGGTCCACAAACACCATCCCCATGGCCTGAGATGACTCACAATGTACCTAGTACAAGTCGCAGAACTTGAGGCTGGAGAGATGCTCAGTGGTTAGGACCACTTGCTGCTCTTCCAGAGGACCTGTGATCAATCCACAGCACCCACACCAGGAGGCTCATGATAGCTCATAACTCCCTCCAGGTGACCGGATGCCTTCTTCTGGCCTTTGAGGTTATCTGCACTAAGGTGCACATATCCACATTCAGACAGGTTCAAATACATGCAATTAAAAATAAAAGAAAATCTTAACAAACAGAAGTTGCAGACCCAGGACCCTCCTTGTCCTGCTCCATTCATGAAGTCTCTGCAATAGTAGAGATGTCCAATGCTAGGTGCCCAGTTCTAGTTCGAAGAGAGGGTCTTCCAGCCAGCTTCCTGGGTGATTGCAGCCCTCTTTTAGTAGCTACAACCTCACCTAAAATAACACCGCTGGCTGTTATTTTGTCATTAAATGTCTGGCATTTTGTCAACAGGTCCCAGGCTTTTGTGGCAATATTGACCATTCTCCACTTACCTCATGCCAGGCTTATTGTATGCCTGCCTGCAACCCTTTCTTTGGTGTCCCATTCAATAGTTTCCCCTTAAACATTGCATGAATACCTAGTGTCAACCAAATCCCACTGATGTGCTAGCTCCTCTCCTCTCTACATCCCAGGCCACCATGGTCAGTCTCCATGAAGCCAGAGAGTTGTACCTACTATCTTGCCACCTCCTTGCCACTCCATCTCAGAACTCATCAGGCATACTGCCACTCAGGGCCTTTGCTCATGCTCCTCCTGTCCGACCACCCTCCAGCCTTTCATGTGTCTGGGCACTTGCTGCTTGTACCCAGTGCAGTAACTTGGGGCAGCCGCATCCCTGTTTATGAAGCTGCCGGCATCTTTTGCTTCCATGTGGGACTATATGGTTGTGGGATTCATCTTCTGATCAGCAATTGACAACCTCTTTAGGGACATCCAGAGGGAAGGGCACGTCCACTCTGTCCCTGCAAGTGCTTCTTCAGTTCTGCAGGGGGCTCTGTTATGAGACCTCATGAAGGGAAATGCTAGAACCTCACCCTGCACTCTTGTGGGCTTCAGGGGAGGGATCCTGCAATTCAAACCCTGGGTATGTCCTCTCTGTGGGCCTCAGAGGAGGGAGGGAATCCTGCAATTCTAACCCTGGGTATGTCCTCTCTGTGGGCCTCAGAGGAGGGAGGGAATCCTGCAATTCTAACCCTGGGTATGTCCTCTCTGTGGGCCTCAGAGGAGGGAGGGAATCCTGCAATTCTAACCCTGGGTATGTCCTCTCTGTGGGTCTCAGAGGAGGGAGAGATCCTGCAATTCTGACTCCGGATATGTGCTCTCTGGACCCTCCACATGAGAAGTGTTCCACAGCTTTAGACAGGTTTTCTTTCTTTTTTTTAGACAGGGTCTCACTATGTAACTCTGGATGACCTTGCATCCATATAGATCCACTTGCCTCTACCTCCTGAGTTCTGGGATTAAAGGTGTGTGCCACCATGCCCAGCCAGAGCAACTTTTGAGCCATTGGCTAGGAACTTCAGTTTTCTACAGGGTGTGTGTGTGAGTGCCAACGGTAGGGTGTGCCAGAGGCTGCTGCTGCTCTGGGGAGGTTCCAGAGCCAGGTGGTGTGTAGACTCCAGGCTAAGCTTGTGGCTAAAGCTAGGGGTTTGACTGCTTTACTGGCATTTCGAGTGTTAGCTTTTGTTTTATGAAATGGTGAATATGGGCAACATTTAAAAATAAATGTCCCCACTTGCCCACACAAAAACACTGGCCCCATAAAGTTGCTCCCCATGGGACAATGTATGTATGATGCTAATTCTAGTGCACTGGGTTGTAGATGATGCCCTAGATGTGAGGCTGTGGGACAGGTGGCTGAGGGATGACTGTAATCTCCACTGAAGCACAGTCTCATGCTTAGAGGGCTCCAGTGCACATGTCTACACACAGACACACAAGCACATCTGCACACAGACATGTGAATACACAATGCACACAGGTACATACAGAAGTGAATGCAAACACATGCATGCCTGTGTGTAGTGTGTATAAACACACTCACATAGGGAAGTATGTATGGGGAAGTAAGTGAAATACAAGCACACAAAGTCCTTTCAAGGCATAAATGTATACAAACATACATGTGTGCATGCAGACATGCACATTCAGATACAAACACATGCAGGCACACATGAGTACACACATGCATGAAAGTGCACAGAGGCACACACAAACACTTGCACAGCACATGCACACACTGCAGGGAGATGGCATCCCAGGGCCATCTAGAACAATTCACACATCTGCCAAGAAAAGAAATGAATGTTCTCAGGTCAGTCATTTTCAAATCTGCAGTATCAACCACAGGGCTCATCAGGGACCTTGAAAACAGGAACAGGCTGGGACAAGAGCACTCAGAAGAGGCCAGGGTTGTGTATTCAAATTTATTTTGACAAATGCTCAGCCACAGTCTCCTATGGGTGTGTGTACAATCAGGTTTGCTTTGTTTTTGTTTTTTTTTTTTTGTTTTTGTTTTTTTAAAAAATGGTTTCTGTAAAAGAATTTTTGGTAATTACCTAATTTTGGATATGGTAGCTATGTACAAAACATCACTGGAAACCACTTCACGGCACGAGAGAAAACAGAAGCATCAGGTCTCATGATTTTAGCAGACAGTAAAAACCTTTGAAGGCCATGACTGGACCCCAGCTTCCAACTACAGGCTGTCAGCCTTGCCCTAAGGCAAGTGTAGGGAGTTGCCTCTTCCAGCTTGGGGGAGACACTTGGGGCTACAGTGCTGAGAGACCTCCCACAGCTGGTTAGCACACCAGCTGAAGCTGGTTCATGAGGCTTGTTTTAGAGGCTATTACAATGGCAAGTGCCAAGGATCTCATGTCCCTGTGAGTGAAAATATAGGCGTGTTACCAAAATAGAAGCCTTTATTGAGAAAAATCTTTGGTAGTAACGATACTCTAATTTCCTCTCCACATTTGGTTAACTAATGAAATAAACTCCTTCCACCTTGAGCTACAGAAAGAAAATCCCTCAGATCCACCACATTATTGATTTTTTCTTTTTTTAGACAAAAACCAATAGATGTTCTAAAAAGAGGCAAAGGAACCCATGGAGGCCTTGGGGCTTGGTGAAGCCTTTCAGCCTTTTTAGAGATGTCTGCCTGTCACCCCAGCTTGTCTCACAAGAAGGACATCATCTTGGTGTGAGGGGCCCTTGAGTGGCTGGTGTGGAGCCTACCTGCCAGGGACACAAGGGTGCTGGTCAACTGGGGGCACCTGTACCCCTCAGTTTTTTCTGGCACACAGTATGAAGCCACCATGTGTTACTGTTTGGGTAGCCAGGTCTGTTCCTCTGAGCTCCCATAAGGAAAGACAGTGAAGTCATCCAGCTTGTTCAACTACAGCAGGTGACATCTTCAGGAGCCTGAGTCTAAGTCATTCATCCTCCTGCAAAATGCCACCAGGTTCCTGGACACCACTCTGTACCTATCCCAAGGCATCCTTCAGACAAAAAATGCAGACTCAGGGCCTTGGCCCCTTACCACTGTGGTGGTGGGCTTTATGTCCCCACCATGGGTCTGTGGAATATGCCCTCGTCCCATTCAGCCCTGTCACCAGCCATCCTTGGCATTGAATACTAAAGATAAAAATGTCCCTGCTTAATGGCATTGTGCAAAAATGAGAAGAAACAGAAAGAAGAAAGAAGACCGTTGTCACATCAGAGTGGCCCTCCACGTGTGCAGACAACACAAGAGCCACAGGCCCTGGTGGGGCTAAAAGTGCTGGCTCTGGAGGAAACTGGTGGTCACTTGGTGATGGTCAGAAGCCTGCTGGCCTGTTGGGCTGCCATTAAGGCTACAGTGCGCCCCCGTGGTATTCGTAGCTGGGGACTGGGCTGCCGTCACCTGCCTCTGGCCGGGTTGTGGGGCTGTGGTTGTTGCAAGGCACGTCCCTCGGCTTCTCCTTCTCCATCCACGTGTCCAGTAGCTGCTGCTTGCCCTGCTCCTCACGCATGAACAACTCCACCATGAGAACCTTCTCTTTGTGGATCTGCTGGCTGATGTCTTTGGGGATGTCAGGGATCACCCAGTCTACGAAGTCACTCATGAACATCACCAGGTTCTACAGGGAGGGAAGTGATGGGGATGAGGCCAGAGGGGCCTGGATGTCCCAGCCTCTGTCTAGTGTCTATATCACCTGTGCACACCCTCACTTGTTTGTCCCACCTATGCACCCCACCTATGACCCTCTTCCTGTGCACCCTACCTGTGTACTCCCACCTGTGCACCCCACCTGTGTACTCCCACCTGTGCACCCACCTGTGCACCCTACCTGTGTACTCCCACCTGTGCACCCACCTGTGCATACTATCTGTGTACTCCCACCTGTGCACCCACCTGTGTACTCCCACCTGTGCACCCACCTGTGCACCCCACCTGTGTACTCCCACCTGTGCACCCCACCTGTGTACTCCCACCCGTGCACATCTCCATCTGTGTGCCCCACCTATGCATTGCCTCCTGTCTACCTGCTCCATGTGGCAAAACCCACCCCTTCACTCCCTGTCCTTATGCACATCCTATTTTTCTGGGCTTCAGTTTCCCAGAAGATGTAAACAGGGAGGTGCAGCTCCTAGAAACCCAGGCTTTCTCCCTTTTCTTTTTGAGAAGCTGGGGATGAAGCAGTCTTGTGATCCACTACCCCGTGTTGGCTTTTTTGAGAAATCTGAACAGAATGGACAAGAAAATGCTTTGCAAGACTTGAATTTTTCAGCTGGGATCTTCAGAATGACTGACTACCCAGGCCATCAAACACAGCAATGACATCAGGCTGCAAAGAACATTAGTAAGGCAGAAATGGCCGGTAATGCTGGGAGTGAGCTGAGGGCTGGCCCTTGAAGCCTGAGCTAGGTTCCTGAGCTCTGGCTATGTCAATGGAGATGTTTTTTTTTAGGGATAAAATGCAAGTCAGTCAGCTTGTATGGGAGACCAACATTCTTGTTCATCAAACACCTTTGGGGTGCATTTGTTGGCACCTGAGCATCAGTGACTGATCTATGTTCAAAGGTGACTCTCCTAGCTATGCTCCCAGCTGTAAACTATGACACTACTAAGGACCCTCTGTCCTCTTGCCTCCCTGTTTCCAGACTGGCTGTGGGAGTAAGTGACCAGCCATTATTAGGATAAGGACCCATTATGTTCTGGTGCCTGCTGGGATGGGCAGGGGTGTCCCCAGTGGAAACCCTCCCCACTACACTCCTGCCTGCTATGCTATCTTCTTATCTTAGAGCAGTGGTTCTCAACTGAGGGTCATGACCCCTTTGGGGGGGGTCACATATCAGATATCCTGCATATCAGATATTTACATTGCAATTCACAACAGTAGCAAAATTACAATTATGAAGTAGCAATGAAATAATTTTATGGTTGGGGGTCACCACAGCATGAGGACTATGTCAAAGTGTCTCAGCATTAGGAAGATTGAGAACCACTGTCCTAGACCTTCCCTCAGTAGCCCTGGTCTGTGCTGGGTAGTTTTATATCAACATGACACAAGCTAGGGTCATCTGGGAAGAGGGACCCTCAATTGAGAAACCGCCTCCATCAGATTGGCCTGTGGGCAAGCCTGGGGGGTCATTTTGTTTTGTAAAAAACATTTTAAGTTATTTCATCTAATGTATTTGGGTGTTTTGCTTAAGTGTATGTCTGTGCACAGGTGAGTGTATGTCTGGCTCAGGGAGGCCAGAAGAGGGCACTGGATCTCCTGGGACTGGAGTTACAGATGGTCATGGGTTGCCATATGGATGCTGGGAATCCAACCCAGTTCTCTTAGAAGAACAGCTTAACTGCTGAGCCATCTCTTCATACGGGGCACTTTCTTTTCTTGATAGATAATTGTGAAATGTGAAAGGGTCTAGCCCATGGCAGGAGGGGTTATGGGCAGGTGGTCCTGGATTGTAGAAGAAACAAGTCCAGCAAAATATGGGGAACAAGCCAGTAAACAGCACCTCTCCATGGCCTCTGCATCAGCTTCTGCCTCCAGGTTCCCACACAGTCTGAATTCCTACCTTAGCTTCCCTCAGTGATGGAGTGGAACAAACACATTCTTTTCTAAGTTGGTTTTGGTCATGGTCTTTGTCCATGCAAGCTAGGACACTACCTCAACCCTAGTCCTTCTGTACCCACTTCAGTGAAAGGCTGATGGAGGGATGAGCGCCCACTTAGGGCATGCAATGAGCATAACATGGGGACTGACCTGGTATTGGAATTTCCCAGCTCTGAGTGTTCGGTCTGCTGTTGTTCTGGCATGAGTTTCCATGATGCCAGAGGGATGTGCATGGCTCTTAGCAGCATACATGGGCCTTCAGTCAGAGGGTTTGTGTGTGTGTGTGTGTGTGTGTGTGTGTGTGTGTGTGTGGGTGTGTGTGTGTGTGTGTGTGTGTGTGTAGTTATCTGGAGTTATCTCAGAACCACGGCCTCCAGTCTGAACTTGCCTGGCCCCTGGCACAGAGACAGAGGGAGACAAGTGGGGACAGACACTGGCTTCTTCCTGCAAGTCTGCTCTATGGAGCTCCCTGCTCTCACCAGTCCACCCTTTCCTTGCTTGTTTATGACATTCTCTTGGTCACTGCTCAGGTTCAGGTCAGTCAGTGTCCTCCTCAGAGCCCCCAAAGACATTTCAAGGTCCCTGCCTCCTGCAATTATCAGCTCCTCCTCCTCCTGTCTGCATTTCCCAGGTGCTGTCTCTCCACTTTCTGCTGTCCCCAACACAACACATACCTGGAAGACGATGACAAATGCCAGCCGGGCAGCCAGGACAGCCCAGAAGTCTTTAGAAATGTCATACTTGTGTTCTGACCATGGGGGCTCACGGTAATCTTTGTACCTGCAAAAGGTGTGGGGAGTCAAAGGCAGGTCAGGGGATCTCAAGAGAGAAGCTTTGGGGTTGAGCCAGGCTCTGTGACCAGCTGCAGGGGAGGTCTGCTCTCTGCCTAGAAATTCTCTCCAAGTTGGATGGGATGGGTAGAGCCCAGCAGTTTGAAGAAAACAGACACCAGGCACTTTGGACAGTCTTGAGACTTTTGAGACTGATGAGATGCAATGTATGTTATGAGACGAACTTGAGTCTTTAGGTCCAGGGGTGGGATGCCCTGATTTAAAATGAAGTGTCTGGTGTCAATTAACAAGGATGATTAATTTTTTCTTTTAAATTTAATTATGTGTGTCTATGAATGTGCATGCAGTGTCCTCAGAGGTTGGAAGGGAGTGGCAGATCACCCTGGAGTTGGTGTTATAGGTGGCTGTGAGCTGCTGGATGCGGGTTATGGGATCTGAACTCAAGTCCTCTGGAAGAGCAGCCAGGGCTCATAACCCCTCAGTCTGAGTGGTTGCTCTTGCTTGATTGTCTTCTTGGCTGGATTTAGAGTCACCAGGGAAGGCTGGTGTGTAAAGGCGAGATGACTGTGTGTAAAGGCGACGGTACCAAGCCTGACTACCTGAGTTTGATTCCTAGGACCCAAATGGTAGCAAGAGAAAACTGACTCCTGAAAAGTGCCCTCTGCCTTTCACATGTGCACTGTGGTACACACAAACCCACCCACACACCCATACCCAAACAAATAAACAAATAAGTGTAATAGAGTCACCATGGACCTCTGGGTAGGTGTGAGAGTGTTTCCACCAGAGAGGTTTAATTGAATGTGGGCGGGCCCTCCACGGGCTGGAGCAAGCTGATGACCAGCAATCATCTCTCTCTGCTTCGAGTCTGTGGCTTCGATGTGACCAGTCGTTCCACACTCCTGATGCCTTCACTCCCTGAGATGGACTGTGTCCTCACACTGTGACAGCCACCCCATACTCCCTGAGATGGACTGTGTCCTCACACTGTGACAGCCACCCCATACTCCCTGAGATGGACTGTGTCCTCACACTGTGACAGCCACCCCATACTCCCTGAGATGGACTGTGTCCTCACACTGTGACAGCCACCCCAGACTCCTGATGCCTTCACTCCCTCAGATGCACCGTGCCTCACACTGCAAGCCAGGACAGACCTTTCCTTCCTTAAATTGATTTTTGTTGTTGTTGTTGTTTTGTTTTGTTTTGCTTTTTGAGACAGGGTTTCTCTGTGTAGCCCTGGCTGTTCTGGAACAAGTCTGTAGAACAGGCTGACCTCCAACTCACAGAGATCTGTCTGCCTCTGCCTCTTGAGTGCTGGGACTAAAGGCGTGTACCACCACTGCCCAGCCCTTAAATTGATTTTTGTTAGATATTTTGTCATAGCAATGGGACATATAACTAATATAATACAGTCCCCAAAGTTAGGGCCTGGGTCTCTAGAGCAGCTGGTAGGAATCAGGCTAGTCACTAAAGGCTGAAGCCCAGCTAGGGGACACCAGGAAGGGGCACCTGGCCCCAGAAGCATACCCCTTGTGCTCAGCTCACATTTACTATCAACTTGCTGTGTGTTTCTGAGCACTTGCTTGGCCTCTCTGGGCCTGAGTCTGAACACTCTCTCACTTGTTTATGTCATGAACATTTGTGAGTTGTTACTAAGTGCTGACCCCATCCCAGAGGACACATAAGTGAGAACACAGCAGATGGGGCCTTTTATTCATGGAGGGAGTAGGACAGGAGTCTCTTGGGCCTGTTTGCCATGAAACTATCAGCTCCCCAGATGGGACTGGCTGGGAACAGTAGCAGGTGCTGAGCAGAAGTTGTACAATAACTCTGATGGGAACAAAGAGCCTGTGCTCCTAGTGGTACCACACATGTCCATTCTGCCTTTTCCCTCTAATCCTTGGGTCACCTGGAAAATGCCTATGCATCCCTGAAAGCCCACTCTTGACACGTTTCAGTTACCATCTCCCACCAGCCATACTGACGTTTAGCAGATTCATTTTCTTCTGTACTCAGCTAATTAGCCCTGTTTGGTCCCCATGGGGAGAAGAGCATGTGGTCTCTCAATGTGGATGGGGCTGACCTAGGGCATGCCTGCTTTAGCACAGGAAGAAACAGGATCCTGCAGGAATCCCAAGTCCCAGCTACTGCTTCTGCTGTACTCTGGGCTGGGCTGGGCTCTGGCTTTGGGAGGTGGCTGTGGTGGGTGTGTCTGGTATATGTGGGGAGCTCAAGGTGGGTTAAGTGCAGGATTGTGGGTAGTCTGGCAGGAACTGGAGTGGGGACCAGGGCCTCTTTTCGCACGGGCCCAAAGCAGCCCCAGGATCATAGATGGGGTCTTGACCCTATGTTCTTGGAGATCTGCTTCTCTGGCTTGACTTGAACCCTGCTTGTGTCCTCTGTGTGCTCAAGCCTGCCACTCGCCCTCAGCACCATAGGCCACTCTGCCAGAGTGTGCAGAAAAGCAAGAGCGATTTCTCTGTTTTCTCTTGGTGACTTTCCCTCTAAACTTCAATTTCCCTGAACTCTGTAGTACTCAATGGTACACTGGCTGAGGGTACTTTCAACAGTACTGGGGTGACCTCAACCATACCGGGGTGACCTGCAGTCAGCTGTCCAATGTGAGGCTGGATTTTGAGGCAGTTCCCCAAGCTGTGCACCTTGACACCAATGGTGGATCATGTGCCCCCTCCCCTCCACTTTGTTCCACAATACAGGGGTCCTCAGCTACCCCAGGGAGCATCATTGCTTTTCCCAGGAGTGACCAACAAACGCCACTGCTGGTGCACACACAGGGCCCCAGCAGATAGCTCCACGAACGAAGTTACAATTCTACAGGGAGCAAAAGCCACCAACACTCAGAGGAAATTCACTTGGAACTTGGCACTTTCCCTGGCTATCAAGAGGTGGTCTGAGCCTCTCTCTCCAGGCTAGGGAGTCCTGAGACCCTGGGGCAAGCAGGTGCTCTGTAGAGCTCCAGGGGCAGGGAAAAGCTCTCTGCCCCTTTCTGCCAGTCTACCACATTTTAAAAATTCATTATTAAAGACAGGGCCTCATCTGGGCAGTGCACATCTTTAATCCCAGCTATCTGGCTTTCAATTCTGCAGTCTGGACTTCAATTTGGAAGACAGAGGCAGGCAGATCTCTATGAGTTTGGGGCCACTGAACTACATAGCAAGTTTCAGACCATTCAGGGCTACATAGTGAGACTCAAAAAAAGTAAGCAACCAGCCAGGTGGTGGTAGCAGTGTGGCACCCTCCTTTAATCCCAGCACTCAGGAGGCAGAAACAGGTAGATCTCTGGGTTTGAGGTCAGTCTGGTCTACAGAGTGAGTTCCAGGACAGCCAGGGCTACACAGAGAAACCCTGTCTCAGAAAAAAGTAAACAAACAAACCAAGAAATTGTTTGAGGTAGTCCAGGCTTGCCTCATCCTGTCTCAGCCTCTTGAATGATTAGATTATAGGTATGCACCATCATGCATGACATCATAATGCATGTGAGTGTGTGTGTTCAAACACACACACACATACGTAATTTTTGTTTTTTTAAGAAGAGTTTTACTTATTTTATGCATATGAATGTTTTGCCTGCATATATGTCTGTCTGTGTACCACATGCATGCCTGGTGCCCACGGAGGCCAGAAGAGGGCTTCAGATCCTCTGTAAATGAAACTACAGATGATTGTGAACCACCTTGTGGGTGCTGGGAATCAAACACTGGTCCTCAGAAAGAACAGTGCTCTTAACTGCTAAGCCATCTCTCCGGCTCATGGTTTTTTGTTTTGTTTTTTTTTGAGACAAGAGCTGATGTAGCACAGGCTGGCCTCAATCTCAATATGTAGCTGAGGATGGCCTTGAACTTCTGATACCTTGTTTCCACATCCCAGTATACTACATTTGAGGCATGGTCTCATGTAGTCCAGGTTGGCCTCAAACTCACAGCAATTCCCCTGCCTCAGGCTCTGAGTGTGGGATTTTATAAAGGCTTGTGCCACTCCTGCAGTCATTTTACAAACTGCATGTAGGCACTCCTTGAGTCTTGCACCTGAAGAAGCCAGGCTCCTCCTTAGCCTTTCCCAGCTGCCTCTGCAAGGACCTTTCTTCAGGAGGAGACATAAAAGCAGTACCTGCAAATCTGAACCTCATAGCCCAGGTCCAGTGGGTCATTGGGTGCCGTGCCATTCTGGAAGTCACTGACGTTGAAGGAGGAGAGTGTGTGGTTGACAAAGCCGTGCATGGTCCCATTCTGACTGTACATGTAGAGGTACACTAGGCGAGGGATGAAATCAGACGTGAAAGAGATCACAAAGGCCTGCCAGGGAAAAGGAGTGAGTATGAGTGTGGTTCCGGGTGGGACAGGATAGCATGAGTGAACAAAGGGTCACAATATTCCTGTACCTTTCTGCACTTTGCAGGAGTCTGAAGGGCTATTTCTGTGGTCCCCAAGTAGGGACAGTAGGGACAGTGGGCTGCCTTTCACAGGCTCTGTGGCTCTGGGTGAAGTCCCCAACCCTTTTATGCCATCCTTCTGTTCTTGTTCAACAGATTGAGCATGCCCACTGGGCACAGACCTTACCTCCTGGGCTTGATGGAGAAATTTGAGAGCCCAAAGAAGGAATATGAAAACTATAAAGGTCTTGACTACTTCTATGACAGACTTCATGTAGGAACCTGAAGCCCAACAGCCTCTCGTGGCTGTGTGGCCTTGGGTATGTCAACTTCCTTCTCTGTGCCTTAGCTGCCTGTAACATGGGGCTTGCCAGGCTATATCTCCACAGCTATGTACAGGGTAACAACTTGATGTATGTCAAGAATATAGAAGGTTTAGAATATTCCGGGAGCATCTAACATTGTTGCTGTTGTTCTCATGAGATGTCCGACATGTGCCCTGGCTTCACACAGGCTGTATTCAGCCCGCCCCCTCATTCTAGACCCTATTTTTGCTCCTCTAGGGTCAGGCATGGAGCTTCAGCTGTATGCCATCCCCTCTCAGTTCCTTTAACAAGGGGCCTCAAGGTCTCAATTGGAAAAGAGGGCACTTGGCAGGAGGGAAGGACAGTGTGGAGTTTGGAGGTTCCTAGTGGCTTGAATATCACCCCTATGCCTACTGGGCACTGGATCCCAGGTGTCCCTGCATTGGACCCCAAGCCTGGGACTGTTCTGAGAGCTACCCCTGCTTCCCATGAGCATGGTGTCTGCATAAAGGTTGTGATGCTGCAGGTCCACGTGTGGTTCCTATGCCTCTGAGCTAGCCTTGGGCTTTGCTGCAGCAATATGGGGACCACAGTGGCCAAGGACTATGCCACTCTTGACCTGAGACCAGGAAAGGCTGGTAGGGGTCATACTATGTGCTGGGAAGACATGGTCATGGGCTGGGAAGGAAGCTAGGAGTATGACACTGGGCTTGATAGAGATAGGGGTGCTAGCTTTTCAGCTATGTTACAAACATTCGTTTGTTTGTTTGGAGACAGTGTCTTATGTAGCCCAGGCTGGCCTTGAACTCTCTATGAGGATGAGGGTGACCTTGAACTTCAGATCCTTCTGCTTCCCGTTCCTGGGTGCTGGAAGAATAGGTACGCTTTATCATATCTGGTTTATTCAATGCTGGGGATGAAACGCAAGTCTCGTGCATGCTACCTATTGAGCCACAGCCCTACTCTTTCTAAAGAGAGACATCCCAACAGGCCTGGTAGCCTCACTGCCCAGCCAGGATTCCCACTCCCATCACTTACATTAATGATGACAGCCAGCTTCCCGACGCCTCTGAGAATGTTATACCAGATGCCTGTGGGAGAAGCAGATGGGAGTGTCTGTGGGCTGGTGTGGTTTGTGGTGCCCAGGCTGTGCCTGGGTGGGCCCAACATTGCAAGAACTGGGGCAGCTAGAGGGCCACCCCCAGAAATGCTGGGGAAGGCACAGAGGAGCCCAGGGAATGCCAATGCCTTGGCTGTACTGTGTTGCCATGTCACCTTATGGGCTGTCTATGAGTTCCAAGGCTTAGACACCCTGGTCCCTTGTGGCCCCGGCCCTTCCCTTTGAACCTGTCTAGAGGTGCTCACTGCAGAAAGATCCCTTTCATAGAGCCAGTGACTTGACCTCAACCCCAGTGCTTGAACAGCTCTGGCTAGGGCATCCTGACTAGTGAGGCTGGGATCTTGCCTTAGGAGTGATGCTTAGTAGTGTTCAAGCCAACCATCATGCTTGGATATGACCTGGTTTCCACCTCTACAATCCCAGATGGGCAGAAGTCATATTCCCAACATGGTGGGACCTTGCTCCTCAGCCACCTTCCAATGTAAAGGAGCAGGAACAAGACCTAGGAAGGAGGTGAGGTACTTGTTGGGGGGTCTCCAGGATGAGATTCCTGCCCAGCCCCAACCTACCCATGAAGCTGGATGTGTGTCCAGGGGTCCTGTCCTGAATTTCACCTATGAGGCCAAGAGTGTGTCCTGTCCATATCTGGCTCTCAGCTCTGAGCCAGGTCTATGGCTTCTCTGAAGTCATCCTGGGTAGATCCTACTGTCTCCACCCTTGGGGAAACTATGGCAGGTGTTTTGTTCTAGGTGTGGTGTATGATGGTCAGGTGCCACATGCTGTCCACACTGTCTAGAAGCAGTGGGGCAGCTTCCAAGCTCTCATTTTTGAGCTTTCCACTGATGGCCCATGAGGCCAGCAGGTGTTCAGCCCCAGGCGCCCCAGAATCCTGGAACCACAGTATGACCAGCGGCCAAGCCTATAGCAATGTTCATACAGTAGATAAGTCCTCTTGCCCCAGCCAGCGACAACTCCAGGGTAAAACAGCTCCCATCACAGCAATGAGATACCCATGCATAGCCACCAGGTGGGAAGTCTCAGGAATAGCCATCCCACATCCCTGCCCCTATTGAGTGACAGTCAACGCCAAGATGAGATGTTTACAAACATCTGCCTGGTGTTTCCTGAGATGGAGGTGGGTCTGTCTAGCTTCCTGCTAGCAGAAGTGGTAGGCAAACAGGTAGATCCTGCATGCTGAAAATTTCATAGGCATAAGGGAGGCAGCAAGGGCACCAAAGGGGAGAGTATTCTTGTGAGGTCATTGCAAAGGTATTTGCAAAGTCACCGGTGGAAGCACTTCATGCTTGGTCTCTTGTGTGGTGTTTTAGGAGCTGAGAGTTCTTCTGTAGACTTAGAGCAGGCTGTGGCTCTTGCATCCCTGTGTTTCCTGAGCCTTGATACATTTACCTATTAGGTATTTGTTGACTGGCTGCAGAAATGCAGAACGCCTTTTCAGATAAAACCAGAGCAGAGGATACAAAGGGCAGGTCCTGCCAGCTGCAGACTCCTGGAAACTGCTGAGAAGGTCCAGCAGGTAAAAGCTCCTTTGCCCAAGCTTGATGGCCAGAGTTTCATTTCCTGAACTACAGCGGGAGACAGAATCCATTTGTGTAAGACAGGCTTCCTATAGAGATCCTGTGGCTGATGGTGGCATCTCCTTTAGGTCAGCTGACTACACCTGTTCCCTATTAGAGGGGAGTCCCTGATACCACCTCTTGGAACCACCAGACACTTCTTGATGCTTTAGCTATTTGCTCTCTCTCTCTCTCTCTCTCTCTCTCTCTCTCTCTCTCTCTCTCTCTCTCTTTCTCTCTCCTTTTGAGACAGGGTCTCACATGCCTCAGACTAGTTTCAAATTCACCATGACCCAAGGATGGTTTTGAACTCCTGATCTTCCTGCTGCTACTTTCCAGGTGTATTCTATCTAGGCCAAACACTAACCAAGCAAAGGTGAAGTTCAGGGTGGCCTCCAACTCATCTTATTTAATGTTCATCACTGTTGTTTCACCACAACTGGCAAAACTCACATCGAAGCTTATTTTATTTATTAACTTAATAAACAGATTTATTTTCAAGACAGGGTCTTACTCTATACCCCAATTCTGACCTGGAATTCATTATGTACCCTAGGCTGACCTCAAACACACAGCAATCCTCCTGCCTCACCCTCCCTAGTGCTTGGATTTACAAGCATGACTATGCCCCATCTATTGACAAGTTTTTATTTGAACATTTGTTTTCGATTTTCCAGGTTATAAACCAGAAATAGGATTGCTGGGTGACTGATAATTTTGCAATCTACTTCGGTCTCAGAACTCCAGTCAGAATGGGAGGGGAGAGTTCTTCCCCTTCCTTCTCTTTAGTTGATATTTTTAGACAGGGTCTCACTGTGTAGCCTTAGCTGGCCTGGGACTCCTGGAGATCTACCTGCCTGTTTCCTGTTGGGATCAAAAACATGCCCCAGAACAACTGGCTAAAGTCTACTTTTACTTTATTTATTATTTTTGGAGATAGGATTTCACATAGCCCAGGCTACCTTGAACTTGAGATGAGGAGACCAGAGTGACCTTGAACTTCTGATCTTCTTGTTTCTACCTTCTGAGTGCTGGGATTACAGGTGTGTACCATCTCATGTGGGTCTTCTTTTTCTCCTTCTTCCTCTCCTCTTCCTCCTCTTCTTCCTCCACCACCCCAGAGGACTCTAAACCCCATTTCTAATAGCTTGACAAGGAAACATGCCGGGTAGGCCAGGTGCTCCATGAAACATGGCATCCACTCACTCAGTGCTGAGGCCAGTGATTAGGGTTTCTCACTGCCTGCAGTACAGTGCAGGGAGTCCTTACTGCCTGAAGACTGGCTTCTGGGGTCCTCTACACACACTGAGTGCCCACCCCCAAGACTTCCACCTAAGAGGCCATGTGATAAAGGCTCCTGCAGTCAGAAGCACGGCTGCCATGAGCCAGGGTCTGTGGGGGTGTGGGGGTGTAGGCCACCGGTGCCACTGGGTCTCCTGTCCCCTAGGAACACTGGCCCAGAGGCTCTGCACGGATCAGAGGAGGAAGACAAAAGCCCCTTTGAGCAAAAGGTTACAGCTCAGGAGGCCACAAACAAGCATGTGAAAGGCAGATCACGCCTCCAACCAAACAGGCAGGAACCAGGAAGCAGCCGCTGATCCGTGAGGCCTGGGAAAAAGCAAGGAGCCTGAAGCGAGGACTCAAAGGACACATCAGGATCCCCATGGGGGCAGGGATGATAGCAGGAGCTAGGAGGCCACCCACAGTACCCTGTTTACCCTGGTGGGTTTGCAAGTTTTTAGAGAATACCATCTAGGACTAGCCAGTCTCTGTCCAGAAGCAAAATTCACGAAACAGTGACATACCCACTGGGGACTCCTCTGAGGCATTTGTGAGAACCTAACAGGGGACAATGTGGCCATATGCTTTTCTTCCTTTCCAGCAATGGGACAGTGAACTTTAGGATTTCTAAAAACTTATCCAAGTTCCCTTTGGGCCTCCAGCATTCAGTACAGGTTTTTCAAAGTTGACCTTCTGTTCATTTAGGAGATGGAGGGTTCTGGTTTTGGGCAGTGGGACCTAGACTCTGCCCAGGCTTTTTCTGAGGTTCCTCTAAGGGCCCAACAGGTGGAAAGTTCCAGAAGTTTGCACTGGGCACATCTCTGGGCTTGTTTTAGAGTAGGGTGTGGGGTGTCCATCCTGCAGCTCAGACACAGACCAGACATGGCTCAGTGCCCATTCTCCATCAGCCCTCTGGGGAATAGCTTTTATATTTGTAAAAGCAAAAGGGAGAAATGCCTGGATTTGGCCTTCCACTGAGGATCCTTGTGCCCCCAAAGCTGTGACAAGCCAAGAACTCATGAAGGTCTCTTGCATCTTTGGGGTCACCAGCCTGACCATACCTGAGTGTGGCTTACCCCAGGACCACAATGGGGCGGAATAGGGCACACTGGGGGCTGGAAGAGTCAGTTTGTCCGAGGACATTCAATGCTTGTAAGTCTCTGGGTAGAACCTGGGGAGGTCCACTTGGGTGTCTGTCTGTTTCCATTGTCTGAGTTGCCTAGGTAGGAGGTGGCATCAGGAAGCCACAGTGTCCAAGCACAGCACAAGGACCTCACACGTGAGTCCTGGCTCTGACCTCTTCATCATTCAGCACTCATGTTTCCAGGCCACTCTCAACTCTGTGTGTGTGTGTGTGTGTGTGTGTGTGTGTGTGTGTGTGTGTGTGTACAGGCCTTGTAGCATAGATGTTAGTTAGGCTATAGAACCACAGAGATGAAGTTACCATAGCTGAAGTGCTTGGCTGTTACCATGGCAACTTCATCCAGCTCACTGTAAAAGACTATAAGGTGATAGAGAAGCCTGAGCCACCTTCTCAGAGGCAGTTGGAAGGTTGGAGGATGTGGTTATCCATAGCAGGGGCTGGCTATGCTACCAGAAGCCAAGTGATGGCCCAAAGAGCACCCAGCCTGGCAGAGACAGTAACAAAAGCAGGAGAGAATATGTAGAAGATGATACAATCTGAGGTTACCATAGGGATTGGATGGTACTACCCAAGGATTCCCCATGGAATGAGCTATAAGTCTAGGGGACTGGGGGAGGTCTTAGAAAAGCCAATGCCACCAGAGATGGTGGCACACACCTTTAATTTCAGCACTTGGGAGGCTGAGGCAGGTGAATCTCAGCCAGCCTCGTTTACAGAGCAAGTTCCAGGAAAGCCAGGGCTACACAGAGAAACCCTGTGTCAAAACAAAAACAATAAACACAACAAAACAAACAAAACCCCAATGCCACCCTTACAGTCTTGCAAACTGGGCCACAGAACCCAACCCAAAGATCCCCTACCGCTGGAGAATATAATCTATATTGGTAGGTGACCACTGGTTTCCCTCACATGATTTAATATTTGCTTATTCCAGGCATCAGCACAGAGATGTCCTTCTCACTAAGCCTGTGTTCAGCAGGAGATGGATTAAAGGACAGTGGGTCCCACTTTAGGATAAGAGAGACACTGTCCTTGCTGTCTTTGGTTGAAGTATGCATGGCATCTGGAGTTGTCAACTCCATCTTCCATAGCCTCTACCTTTCCTGTATACACTCAGTGTTCTCTCCTTAACTGTCTCTGATGACGGGGCACTCACTACCTGGGTATACACGCTCTTCCTTTGATGCCATAGACTACTACAGCATTGCGTATCTCACTCCCATTGCCCTGTTCTCCATGTATAATAACACAGGGTTCCCAGCTCTATGCTGAGTTTCATCTTAGTCTTGAACTTCATGGGAAAGTCATTCAATAACATGTAACATGACTGTACTTCCTTGTCACCCTCTCTCTTCAAAAGTGTTTCATTAAGGTTTAAGTCCAGAAGAAGGCATTGGATCCTCTGGAGTTTAAGTTACAGGCGGTTGTGAGTTGCCCAACATGATGGCTAGGAAGTGAACGTAGGTCCCTTGCAAGAGTAGCCAGAGCTCTTAACTGCTGCAAGCTCTCTCCAGCCTCAACTACCCTCCTTCTATGCCACCCAATGCTGAAGGGCTACAGGAGGCAAGAGGTGCTTGATGAGAAGCTAACGCTCTGTTCCTACTGGTCTATCTCTTAGTTCTGGAGCCACCCCAGTGTTGGGGGGGATGGGGTGTTAAAAATTAGCATAGAGAAAACACATCACCTCATATGTGTCTGACACACTCCAGAAGAGCCATCACAAACTTACTTATGGGTTTTTTTCTTGATTTTCTTTTTGTTACTCAGTTGTGCTGTTCTAGGGTGTGAACTTTGTGGATGACAATGTCACATAACAATACCAAAAGGCTGGACACACTTGGGAAATCTATAACAGTAGATGGCTGAGACAGTCAGACAGCTGACAAACTAGTCCCACATCTCCCTGGTAGCTGACACATCTTCAGGCTTGAGGACCAGTTAGCCAGACTCAAGATCTTTCATCACTTGGGAAGGTGGCAGGAAAGCCCTTGTAGGGAACACTGGTCTGGACCCCACTGGCTTCTCTAGCACAGCAGTTCCCTGTCCGTATGTGCTGAGCCTGTCTCACACACAGCTTACTTACCTATGTCTTTGGCTCTGATGGCTACTGGCCTCCGTAGCTCAGTGACAAACTTTTTGGCATCCAGGCGGATCTCAATGATGTTGTTTAGCAGGGCAAACAGTGGAGCCAGAGGGAAGGATGCAACAAACAGGGTGACAAAGCCAAACTGAATGACTGTAGGGAGAGCAAGCATTGTCAGCAATGCGGCCATGTGCCACCATGTACCCAGCATTACCTAGACCATGGCTGCCTCAGAGGAGCCCACCTGTGTGGATCTGCCAGCAAGTGCATGAGGAGCTCTCTGGAGAGAGCCAGACTACCTTGGGCAGTGTCCAGGGGACTGAAGACAGAAATCACAGTATCAGGAACTCAACATGGCTGACCTCGAACTTGAGACAGTCTTCCTCCCCCAGCCTCCCAAGTGCTGGGATGATGGCAGTATGCCATCATGTCTGGATTATTTATTTATTTTTGTATGTGTGTCTGTGTATGTATGTGCACATGTGCATGTGTATGCATGGAGACCAGAAGTTGTGAATTTTGGTCCTCAAGTACCAACCATGTTTTTTTTCTTGTTTGTTTTTTTGTTTTTTGTTTTTTAATAGGCTCTCTCACTGGGACTTGGGCTCACAGATTAGGCTAAACTGACTGCCCAGGGAGCCTCAGGGAGCCCCTGTATCTACCTCCCCAGTGCTGGGATTACAAGCACAGCACTACCCTCAGATCTTCACGAGGGCTCTGGGGATTGAATTCACGTCTTCACATTTGTGCAGAGAGCACTTCACACCCTGAGCCATCTCCCCAGTTCTGCGTGTGTCATTTTTATTCCTGTCTATAAATGTGCTCTGCTCATGCTCACCCTCATGGGACTCGAGTCATAGGCATGCTCGAGGGTCACAGGTCTGACCTTATGAAATCTCTGCTCACAGGCAGATGACAGTGATCTCATGGCCTGTCCTGTCCCCTCCTTGGGGCCAAATCTCCCTTCGTCACAAAGGCCTGTTCCTATAACTGTGTCTCAAGAGTCCCTCCTGTCCTCCTCCATCAGGCCTAGGAGAGGGGGAGGACATCTTCCCTCCAAGGTTCTCCCAGCCTTCTGTTTCCAGGCCTCCTGTTGCTGTTCACCAGCCAGGGACTTCTTCAGCCCTAGAAGCTGCCGTGGACCTGAGTTACAACAGGTCAGGAAAAGGTCACCAGAGAGATGAGAGTCTGGAGAGCTGGTCCAGGAGCTGTATGGCAGGACCTAGTCCAAGGGAGCTCCATGCCAGGGGGTAAACAAGGAAGCTGCAGAATGTCACCCTGTGCTCAGCAGGCTGAGTATGGCCATTGTTACCAGGATGAGCAGGGCAGGAGGCTGTGGGAACTGTTTCCCAGATGTCTTGGTGACCTCTCATTGGCCCGGAAGTGTGGAACAGTAGGGTGGGGTGCCTCTGCTGACGTCTGAAGGTGCTGGGAGGTTAGGGTGGAACAGGACCAGCCATGTGCCATGGTTGTGTGCATGAGCCATAGTTGCCAACACTCAGGCTCAGGGTTGATGTAGGTGGGCCTTCCTACTTAAAAATAACTTGGCACAGGGTCTCATGTAGCCCAGGTTGACCTCCAATTTACTACATAGCCAAATATCACCTTGAACTTCTGACTCTCCTTCCTCCATTTCCCAAGTGCTGGGATTACAGTACAGGCCTGCACTACTACATCTGGTTTATGCTGGGGATTGAACCCAGGGTCTTGTGCATGCTAAGCAAGCACCCTACCATTGGAGCTACAGTCCTAGCCTTGGTTTTTCCACTTCTGAGTGATGGCCCTGTGTCATCCAGCCTGAAGGGAATGAGAGAGAGACAATGGAGGGGAAGTGGGAGAGACTCTGGAGCTCAAGCTAGTGTGGGCACCCTCCCACTCACACGTGTGCTCTTGTGCTCAGTCTTAGGTTTCCCTAGAGGAGAAGATGACAGCAGAGGTGACAGAAAGTCAATTGAGGAGTGTGCCCTAGTGCTGGGCTGGGGTGGGCTTCTTGGCATATAAGGCCTCTGTCACTGAGATCTACTTATCTTCAAGCCCTGGAGGATCATGGGAGCCTGAGGTCAGAGCTCAGTAGCTGAGAGAAATGACCATATCTCAGTCAACCACAGGGTACTTCTCTGTGGTATCTGGCCTCCCAGAGCCTCCTCAGAGGGCAGAGGCTGACACTGGGGACAGGAGGACCTGTGCCCAGATTCTACTGGCCAGGGCCTTGGGGCTGAACAGCAGGAAGAAAGGAGCCTGGATTCCTGTTTGCCCCTACAACACGCTCTCCTGAATCTTAAGGTGAGACAGTTCCTGACAGTCATGAGGGTAGTTGGGAGCAGCCTGCTTAGAACCACATGAACAAACACAGAGAGTGGTGGGCAGGGAGATGTTCAGGGAGTAGAATGCTCCTGTCAATGCTCTGCAGTCTGAGAGTCACCTGCTCGTCACTGCCTTCTAAGCTAAGGCTAAGGAGTGCTGGGGCCACACACCAGGCCTGCCTTGCCTGTCAGCACCATGGCAAATGCCAAGTGCAGAGCAGTGGCTCCCCTGCCAGGACCTGGGGCAGGCCTAATACTGCAGGTTTGAGTCCTGTCCATGGTGGCCATGCTAATCTAAGCTCCCTGTGAGTCTTGAGTCTTCCTGGCTGTGTTCACTCATCCTTACACCCAGTGAGCATGCACTGTCCATCTGCTATACACTTGGGTCCATCCTAGGGGTGGGGGTGGCAGTAACGAGTGGGGAGAAAGGGCTGGAGAGATGGATCAGTGATTAAGAGCACTGGCTGTTCTTCCAGAGGTCCTGAGTTCAATTCCCAGCACCCACATGGTGGCTCACAACTATCTACAGTGGGATCTGATGCCCTCTTCTGGGATAAAGGAGTATACGCAGATAGAGTACTGATATACATAAAATAAGTAAATCATAAAAAACAAAAGAGTGGGAAGAAAAGGTCTTCCCCCTACAGAGCTCTATCAGGGATAGAGGTGTACATGCAGAGAGAACATTGATATACATAAAATAAAATAAGTAAATCTTTTTTAAAAAAAAAAAGTGGGAAGAAAAGATCTTCCCTCCACAGGTCTCTATCCTTCTGTGAGACAGAAAAGGAGAGGAGTAGATGATGTCGATACCAACTAGATTTAAAATGGGGTCAGAGGAGGAGTTGGATCCCAGGCATAAGGAGAACCAATGCTTTTAGCCACTGTGGTCAGAGAAAACCTTTATTGGGGGACACTCTAAACACAGTCTTTGGGGAAGGAAGAGAGAGGATCCATGCAGGTATTTAAGGGAGAGCATTTCAGAGGAGGTACAGTAAATGCAAAGGCTCCGTGGCAGGCCTGAGTTACATGTTTGCAGAACGATGTGGAGTCCAGTGTGAGCAGAGCAGAGGGGCAGGATGGACAGGAGGGAGCCTGGAAGGTGTCAGGGCCATCCACATAGGCCACACATGGACTTTCCCATTTCTCCTTGGCTACCTCTCAGCATCCTACCATGCAGGGATATTCTCTGCTGATGAGGCTAACCCAGGCCTCACTATGAGGACTGGCTTCATGCTAGGGTCACAGCAAGCCCAGGGAGAGTTGGGTATCTTGGTGCTCAGGAAGAAGAGAGGAGTCACAGAAGAGGGGAGGACACTAAAGGGATGTACCTATGGTACCCCAAATGCTGGGGCCCTCCAATGGAGCTGGTCTTGCTGGTGAGGGAAGAAGAGGAAAAAGGAATTGTTGCTTGACTGTATGTGTCACACTGTGTAGCAGGTGACCATGTGCTGCCTGTCCTGGGCCTTTGGAAGACAAGGTTGAAGAAAATGGACTGTGTTTATAGACCCAAGGAGGGAGCAGAGCCTAGAGTCAAGAGTCTAGGCTAGGTATCTTCAGTTCCTGTCTCTAACACTGTTGAATGGGTGAGGGGCACTGAGGTCACAGGCATCCCTGCCCTACAGCCCTTTTCCTGTTCCTGTCCTGGTGACCTGTTTCCTCCGTGTGTGCAGGTATATGTAAAGTCAACTTCCTGTGTCATTCTTCAGGTGGGGTCCATTTTATTTTTATTTTTATTTTTATTTTTTTCACAGGACTTCTCACTGGCTTGGCACTCATCAAGTAGGCTAGGCTAGGCTGGCTGCTGAGTGAGCCTCAAGGATCATCTTGTCTGTTTCCCCAGTGCTGTGATTACAAGCACACATCACCACACCCAGTTTTGCTTTGTTTTTAAATGTCGGTTCTAGGAATGGAATTTAAATTCTAGTGCTTACAAGATACTTACCAACTAAGCCATCTCCCAAGGCCCAGTTTCCTCTTTTTATTTGTTTTTGAGACTGGGTCTTACTATGTAGCCCAGGCTGGCCTCAAACTCAAGAGCCTCTTGCCTCAGCCTCCAAATATTTGCTGGGATCACAGGCAGGCATCAATCACCATGCCCAGATCCATTGTCTTTGTCTACTCTGCATCTCCTACAGCTTGTGCCCACCACCCTGCCCCAGAATGCCACTCACTCATTTCCATGTACTCGGGTGTGAGGCCTGCAAAGGGTTCGAGGTTGAAGTCCACCTCATAGCGCTGCTTCCGCTTCACATACTCTTCACGGTCCGAGGGGCTCTGCCTGCGAAGCTTCAGGTAGCGGATGAACTTTTTCATCTTCCTGCAAAGGGCGCTGTGTCAGTGAGCAGCTAGTGGTGGGGGCAGCATCCACCAGCACCTCTGAGTTACACTGTCATGTCTGCTCTGAGTGTGAAACACCAGTTAGCATAGTGAAATATACATCTTTTTGTTTTGTTTTGTTTTGAGCTACTATTAGGCCTGGCTGATCTTTAATTTGTAGACTACTATGTAGACCAGGCTGGCTTCAAACTCACATAAATTCACTCTCCTCTTCTTCCCAGGTGCTAGGTTCAAAGGCATGCTTGGCTATATGCCTGTTAGAAGGAGACTAATAGCTCTGCCCCTCTCCCAGAGGCAGCACAGCTCTGCTGGTTTCCTAAGACTCTGAGAGACCACCCGTGGCCTTGGGAGGTTCCTGGAGGGACCTAGGAAGTGTGGGCTGTCCCATGCCTCTGTGGCTTTTCCTTGGTTCACCAAGGTCCTGGCTCCAGGGAACCTATACTGCTGAGGAGCAAGATGAAGGGGACTGGCCCCTGCTGTCTACTCTGCTACTCAGGGGCCAGTACAAGCCAGGGGCTGTGTGGCCCCTGAGAGTCCATATTGTTTATGATGGGGCAACTTTTGCTCCAAGTTCCTCTCCCCTCCTCACCTTCTGGTTTCAGATGTCTCCTATCCCCAAAGAGGCTGATGCCTCCTCACCTGTCACAGAGGCTACTCTGAGAGTCCCATAGAGTCGCCCATCCCCTCCACTCTGTCCCCGCCCACCGAGGACGGGTACCACTCACGGGATGCCGATCTCGAAGAGATTGTTCTGGATCAGCTGCTTGCCCAGCATGATGATGCTAAGTTGGATGCAGAGCTCCATGAGGCAGCCGCCCGGAGCACACTGTGGGACAGAGGGCAAGTCAGAGCTAGCCTGGCTCTACGTAGGGGGTGAGGCTAGCTCTCAACTTGTGAGGCAACTCATGGCTTCTTAAAAGTTAGGTTCAGGGCTAGGGAGATTCTGGGTGGGTAAGAGCACTTGCTGTGTAAACATGGACATCTGAGTTTGAATCCCAAGCCAACATGGTTGCGTGTGTCTGTTATCTCAGCATTGTGGGGTTGGGCAGAGGCAGGTAGATACCAAGATCTCTGGCTAGCCATCCTAGTTGTGATAGTTAGCTTCCAATCCAGTGAGAGACCCTGTCTCAAGGCATAGAGGAAAGTGATAGGGAAGACGCCTGCCATTCTCCTCTGGCCACCCCACACGCACACCTGTACATGCATTTGTGTGCCCATGAACACACACACACACACACACACACACACACACACACACACACACACACACACACATACTCACACACACACACTCACACACATACTCTCACACACATACTCTCACACACACTCACACACACACTCACACACATACACTCACACACACACTCATACTCACACACACACTCACACACATACACTCACACACACACTCATACTCAAACACACACTCACACACACTCATACACACTCATACTCACTCACACACTCACATACTCACACACTCACACACACTCACACACACATACACACACTCATACTCACAACACACTCATACACACACACTCATACACACTCATACTCACACACACTCACATACTCACACACTCATACTCACACACACACACACACATTTCACATCCCCACCTTCTGAAACCTTGAGAATAAAACCTTATTTGGGAAAGAAGTCATTGCTGGCATGATGAGTCAAGGGAGCTGGGACCATGCCCTGCTTCAGTTATCAGTGTCCTCTAGAGAACACAAAGGCCAAGAGGGAGACAGCATCTGGAGTGCTGCAGAGAAGTCACCATGAGGCCAGTTATGGTGGTGCACACCTATAATCTCAACATTGCGGAAGTGGAGGTAGGAGGATCAGGGATTTAAAGTCAAACTCAACTACATGAGTTCAAGGCCAGCCTAAGCTACGTTAGATCTTGTCTCAAAAAAAAGAGCAGGGAGGAGCTCAGTCAGTGAAGTGTTTGCCTCACAAGCATGAGAACCTGAATTCCATCCCCAGCTTAGGATGGCATGTGTTTGTAATCTCAGTGCTGGGGAGACAGAGGCAGGTGAATTCCTGGAGATCACTGGCTGGCCAATCGACTTAGCCTACTTGGTGAACTCCAGGTTCCAGTGAGGGACCCTGTCTCAAAATGAAAGGTGGAGAGTGATGGAGGAATGACACATGAGGTTGATGCATGTTGGCCTCCACATGAACACACTGTACACACACACACACACACACACACACACACACACAGAAAAGGAGAGAGGAAAGGGGGAATAAAGGAGGGAGGAGAGGGGAGGGAGGGAGGGAATGAGTTACCAGTGATTCTACAGCCCCAGATGTTGGGAGAGGCAGGGACCCTCCCCAGGAGCCTTCAGAGGGAAAGGTCCTTACAAGCCCTTTATATGCTTTGTGCTTTCAAGCCATGCTGTGTTGGAGTCCTTCTGCCTGTGAGCTGCTGTGCTGGAACCAGGGCTCAGAGAGGCATGAGCCAACAAGTGGGTCATGGTGGGTGACTGGACCTCAGGTTCCCTCTCCTCCCTTTCCTGGGCTTGTGCTCAGCTGATGCCCTGGTCACCCTTGCATAAGCAGGCATAGGTGCAGCAGGTGGGATCATGAGGTTGGGAAGCCTCACAGTGTGGTGAAGGCCATCTGGCTGAGGTGCAACACCCCACTATGCCTCTGTTTGCTGGGGCTAGCAGGCAGGGGCAGGTTAGATGTGTGAAACTGAACTGGCCCTGGGCACAGTGATTACCTGAGTTCTGGGTAACACTTTCTATATAGTCACCCAAGTCCTTGTCCTAGAGGTCACTCATTCCATTGAAAACACTAACTCTTCGCATGTTCTGCACAGACACTTTCTAATCCCCAAGCAGTATGCAGAGAGGATGCCATGCAAGAAGCCAAGAACACTTCACAAACTTTCTGCAAACCCCTGCACTGTACAGGAGGTCCTGGGGTCCCTGGGCCTGTGGTCAGATAACTGAACTAGGCTGCCCTCAGATCATCCTGTGCCTGATGCCCTTCCCTTTGTCCCTCTATCCACTGTTTCCTTTATCAGGAAGGCCCCTCTCTTCTGCGCATGTGGAGGACAGATGTCAATTTTAGGAGTCTCTCATTCCTCAGGAGCCATCCAGCTTGTTTTGTTTGTTTGTTTGTTTGTTTTTTAATTATTTTTTATGAGTGTTTTGCCTACATGTATGTCTGTGTACCATGTATATTCCTGGTGCCTGTGGAAGCCAGGAGAGGGCATTAGATGCCCCAGGACTGGAGTTAGAGACAGTTATGAGTCACAGTGTGGAACTAGGAATCCAACTTGGGTCCTCTGCAAGAGCAGCAATCACCCTTCACCACTGAGCCACCCATCCCTCCAGCCCCACACCTGGCCTTCCACACGGGAGCTATGGATGAGACTCAGGCCCTCAAGTGTGTACAGCAAACACGTCACTGACTGAACTGTCTTTCCAGTCCTCACTTCCTTATTTTCTGATAAAATGAACTTTTTTTGTGGGCTGGAAGTGTGGACTAGTTACCTGGAGACCTGAACCACTGACAGCCCCAGATGCAAAGGAACAAGCCTACGGGTCAGGACTCAGTGGCAGAAGGTGACCTTCCAGGGCCAGAACTGTGGGGCAGAGGCCAAACGTTCCCAGCACTGTGTCTACAGATAGACAAGTGGGTGCTGCCATGCCATGTTAAAGAGAAATGCAGCCGAGGCCTGTTTTTCCTTCTAAATGTACTTTAATCAGAGAGGGAAAAGCCAAAGGCTAACAAAACAAAATGGAGACTGGCCCCAAGGAAGCTAACTGAGTCATTTAAAAAAGAGAGAAACAGGGTGTGGTGGCACGTGCCTTTAATACCAGCACCTGGGAGTCAGAGGCAGGCAGATCTCTGTTGAGTTTGCGGTCAGCCTGGTCTACAAAGCAAGATCCAGGACAGCCAGAGCTACTGTTACACAGCGGAACCCTGTCTCAAAAAAAAAAAAAAAAACAAACAAAAAAGGAGAGAGAGAGAGAAAGAGAGAGAGAGAGAGAGAGAGAGAGAGAGAGAGAGAGAGATGAAAGTGGAAGGGGAGAGAGGCTAAGTGAGGGAGCAAAAGAGGAGCAAGGGATGGATATGATCAAAGTATGTTATATACGTATGAACATGTGATGAGACCCATTATGTGTGATTAATATGTACTGATAAAAACAGGGTAGGTGCAATGGCTCCATGAACAAAGGTGCTCGTCACTGAACCCGAAGACCTGAATTCAATCCCAGAGAACCATGAGGTGGAAGGAGAGAACTGTCCCCTGTAGGTAGTCCTCTGGCTTCTACACACGTGTTGCAGCATGCACATGTGTACATACACAACCAATAAGTAGATGTAGTAAAAATAAGATTTAAAAGGGAGGCTGGAGAGATGGCTCAGCTGTTAAGAGCACTTAGCTGCTCTTACAAAGGACCTGGGTTCCCAGTGTTCCTATCAGTTGGCTCACAACCAGCTATAATCCAATTCCAGGGGATCTGATGCCTTCTGGCCTCTGCAGGCATCTGCACATATGTGATGTATACAGACTCAAAAAGGCACACCTACATACACACAAATAATAAATCAATGCATCTCTATAAAAGTAAAAAAGCCAAATTTTGAACCAAAAAAAGTATCAACAAGAACTAGGCATGACTCTTTCCCACCTTTCCACCTCCCTTTGTGCCTTCCTTGAGACAGATTCTCACCATGGGGCTCAGGCTGGTCTCAGTTGGGATGGTAGGTGTGGGCCATCATGCCCACCTAACTTTCTCCCCCTGGGTCCCTGAACTATATTAATGGAGAACATGACATGAACCGAGCACGGGCGTTCATCGTCTCTTCCTGACTGTGTATGTGATGGCACCTGCTGCTTCAAGCCCCTGCTGCTTTGACTTCCCTGCCATGATGAGCTGTTCCCTGGCATTGTGAGCACAAGTAAATGCCCTCTTCCTTAAGTTGATTTTGTTAGGGTGTTTTAATCACAGCCACAGGGGGAAAAAACTAAATCTAAGTGGACATGTGAGGATGCAAGAAAGTATTCTGGCTGGAGTGCACGAGTGTGGAGGACAGGAAGCTAAGCAGAAGGTTGCTGGGAAGGGGAGGTGACACGTTACCTCCTCCATCCTGAAAGAGCGGAAGATGTACACGTAGTCGCCCGGCCGTCCGACAAACCTGGGATGGTTGGGGTAGTGGTTAGGGAGGAGGTGGACTCAGTCCCCAGCAGATGCCACCCAAAGGGCCTGTGCTTCTGCAGATTCCCAGGCAGAGCCACCAGGGATTTTGCACAGGCTCTCTTCTTCCCTGGCTGGCTATCAGTACGCACACCTATATACCATCTTCAATCACTTGGTGCCACCTGTCCTGTTGCAGGCACTATCAAAGGTTACCATCTTGGTTGTTGTCTGGGGTCTATTGCACTGCCTGGGGTCTGTATTGCTAGAGCCTCCCTCTGCTTTACTGCCCCAGCTAAAGCTAGCACTACTCCTTCCCCTCCCAGAACAAATATCCTAGCTGTAGAAGCTGCACTTCTTGTTTTCTCTGGGCTGTGGGGGCCTCCCACCATCAGGAAGGACAGGTAGGACAGAGTCTTTTGCCAGAGTGGAGGAGGCAGTAGAACCAGGGTTGAGGGGTTCCTACCGGCCTTTGAAGAAAGCCACGTAGAAGATGGGAGTGTAGGAGTTCACGAACTTGAGCAGGAAGGCTTTAAATGTCAGCCTCTCCTCGAAGCTCTTCTCTGTTTTCGGGACCTCTGAGGAAAGACACAGTAACCACTCACAGACAGGCCAGCCAGGGGCAGTCAGGACCGGCCAGAGTCTGGTGGTCAGACTATATGCTCCAGGGCTAGCCCTGCATCAGGGCCATGCTGCTCACACCATCCTGCACTCAGTACTCACCAATCTTGGTGAGCCACCTGGCAATGCAGCCATAAACCTCATCCAGTAGAATGATGACCACGAGGTTGATGATGACAGCAGTGGCCGTGACCGTGACCCGGATGTTGGACCTCACTGAAGGGGAGGAGTTCATGGCCAAGGCTGCAGCCGTGGAGATTCTATAGATAATAACTCCCAGCACGATGGCAAATGTCACTGCGATCTGCAGGGCAGGCATGGGCAAGCTTAGTGGTAATGGCAGGGGTTTTGGGGGGAAGGTGAAGAGCTCCCTTGAACCTGCCCATCTACTCCTAACCCCCACATTTTCTGCGTCAGAACTAAAGCTGAAATTACTGGAGTACTCACCAGATACCAGGTGCTCTGCAGGAGTCAACCCACAGAACAAGGACAAAAGTGAGAGTGTAGACTGATCAGAGTTGTGTGCCTGGCTCAGGGGACTGACATTTACCAGATCTATGTACTACTCTCCCTTATTAGCCCTCAAATAGAGCCCAGGACACTGAAGCCATGCCCCAGGTGTTGTCCTGGTGTTAGAGCGGGCTGGCTACCAGAGATGCTTCTTTCCCAACCCGGAGAGACTGAGACAGCAGACTTCTGGATGGTGTGCAGGGCTAATCCAGGCACCCTCACAGCCACTGTGGTCAGGCAGATGGTAGTATCTGCTGGGACATGGCTAGGGTCCCCGCCCCTTAGCTTTCTTGGAGTTAGTTACCTTCTAGCTCTCCCATGACAGCAGGCCCCAAGGATAGCCAAAGCCATCTCAGACTACAACATTCCATGGAACTCAGACTGGTGGTGCCTGAGAGATGGGTGGGAATCTAAGTGACAGGTTTGTTCCGCCTGCTACAGTCTGTCTGTCTGGGTTCCTTTTCCTTTTGTCTGGGTTCTTTTTCCTTTTGGCACAGGTCCGTGGATAAGACCCAGTCTCTGCCCAGCCCAAGGGTGTGGACACCCCACCCTAGAGCTCACTGGGCGAGGGTGGGCATGTCTGAAGCTTGCCAAAGCAGAGGCTAGCTGGGTTTCAGGTACTTCTGTATGGATTTTGGCTGCTCTAGACAGGCTCTGGTCCTTATGTTTCTGTGTCCTGGATGTAAGGAGGTCTTGTCCTCACTGGCATGGTCCCTCATGCTCCTGGCACAGGCCCTATTACTCTGTGTTGCCCATGCAGGGAACATGGCCCTTGAGGGTCTCCTCAGAAGACTTGCCCTGCACACTATGGGCGTTTTTAGAATATGTTAGTGACTAAACAGAGAAACACCCTGCCTGGGAAACCATCTGCAGTCCCCACTATGCCCTGTAAGCACAAGGCATGGATACCACACCCTGAGCTGTGCCAGGGAGTGAGGGCTTTCCTCGGAAAACCCCTCAGGCCTGCCAAGAGGCCCCTCCCAGCCATAAGAACGTCTCTTGTGCCAGGGTGCAGAGGTTGGGAAGGCTCTTGAGTCTGAGTGACTCAGCAGAGGCAACCCTCCACCCTCCTCCAAGGGAGCCACAAGCCACGTGCCCCTGCACCTCCGGCTGGCCATGCACACTAATGTCTTCAGGACCAGCATGTGTGGGATATCAGCATCTGTGGCCTGAATGGAACTCTAGTGTCAGGGGCAAAGCTGCATCTCCATTAATCTGTGAGCCTGCCTCTTTTGGGAAAAGACAGCTAGCTGGTTTCTTACCCATGTCTGTCCACCCTAGTTCCACTCATCTACCTTGCTAGATCACTATGTATTCCCGATTAAGCCTTTCTGCAAGGCAGGTGGTCAGGAGAAAGGGTTCTGGCCAATGAGATACATTGTGGGAGGGTCTTCTGAGGAAACCCCCTTCACAGACAGGCAGCCTTTGCTGTCCATCTTGTGCCCTACTCTCAGCCTTCCCTTTTTCATACTGGAGTGTAGCAGTGATGATGGAGGTAGAATAACTATGTTGCAACCACAATGAGTGAGCAGAAAGAAGTTCAGAGAAGCCAGTGCCTCTGGTCAGTCGGCCCTAGGCCACCCACCCACTTCTTAACCTTCCCTGGTCCTTTTGCTAGGAGCAGCTGGTCTGTGGGACTGTTGGGGTCTCTTAGTTCCTTAGTTAGAGCTGGGGTGTCTTTCTCTGGGTGTGTCTCTGCATCCGAGGGAACATGTCATCCTCAAAAGGAGGCTGAGAGTGGATCTGGAGTCCCAGGTAGTTGAGAAGCCAAGGTTCAGAAGCTCAGGGACAGCCTACACAGCAAGATCTCATCAAACTGAACCCAAGCAAAGGAGGCTGAGCTTGTCTTCTGGTGAGGTGAGTCCCAGCTTCTTCAAGGAAAGGAAAGCAGACTGGGGACCCCCACTGTGGAGGCTGCCTATTTCTGGATCCTCTAAAACAGCTGATGCTCTCCAGCAGTGTGCAACACTGTATGGGGTGGGGGTGGGTGAAGCTGAGGCCTATGCTGTCTTCTGGGAGGTGGGTAGCCTGCCCAGAAAACCCATCCTGGCTCAAGGCTGTCGTCTCATATGGAATGAGAAGAAATAGGCTCCTGGCTTTGCCCATCTTGGCTAGCATTCCAAGGAACAGCCCTTGGACCTATTTCATCACCACCTGGCTAGGTGGGAAGACTGAATGGGTCATCCAATGAATGACCTAAGGAAGCTCCAGGACAGGGGGTTGATGGGATTCTGGGACTGAAAGTCTAGGTGGCTCTGCCAGGATCCCATCAAAACCTCCCAGGCTAGACAAAAGGTGGCCAGTGGCCTCAATGAAGATTGAGAGAGGCACAGGTGGTTTGAGGCAGAGGCCTCATGACTTCAATGGGGAAGGGAGTTCCCTGAGAGCCATGGGACATTTGCTGGGACATTTGAATCAGCTCAGATCTATTTGTGTAAGGGACAGTAAGGCACGCCTGTTAGAGGCTGGCTACAGGTGTGCCTGACCACACCTATAGCCACATCCATATCAGGATGACTCGTGATAGGTTTTTAAGGGGCTGCAAGGCACATGGGAGCCCTTCTCTCTGGCCTTCCTGCCTTGCGGTCCCTGGCATGCTCTGGCTTGCGTTTGGCTGGTGTTTATCTGAATAAAAATATCTTAACCTTACAGACTAAGGATCGGCTCTCATTTTACCTGGCGCCCAATGTGGGGCACGAACACACGACCCTGAGATTAAGAGTCTCATGGCTACCAACTGAGCTAGCCACCACAAACCCCAGCCTGTCCCATCTTAGGGATGGAAGAGGGCCCCCCTCCAATCCCTCTCCATCCCAGGAGTCAGGGCCATTGTGTCCCAAGATGAGTGCAGGGTACCTCTGATTCCCAGCCCCGCCAACATTCTAGAACTTACCATAAAGATGATGGAGACAAGGTTGGTGAAATAGGCTGGAAAGCGGTCCCTCCAGGTCAGCTTCACTTTGTCTGTCTGCAACATGAAACCATCTGGTCACTTACTGAGAACCACCTCAGTGGGTGGACAGGAGTACACACAAAAAACTCAAGAGAAACCTCCAGAAGGCTCTGAGCAAATATGACAGTCCAGTGAAAGGGGAAGCACATAGGGTCTAGTCCCCCTTGAACAGGGTCACAAGGTGACAAAGTAGGGAATGGCCTCTGGGGCTAGGCCTCCTCTGTGGATAGGCCTGGCATTGCCCACTGCTCCCTAAGAACTGCATGGCCTGAGAGGGAGCTGCTCACTTCTGAGACTCTATTCTTCCTCTGCAGTCTCCTGTCCAGGACTATAGGTCCTAAGATGTTGGGCCATTTGCCACCCAGATCAATAATAGCCATTTCCCCTTTTGCTGAGCAGGTGGAACAAGTGCCTAGCACTGCATGTTAGAACTCAGAACACTGAAAGGTCATGTTGACCTGGGGCCACATAGTTCTTTGAGACGGTCTTGGGCCCTGAGCTGGCTGGCCTGGAAGGGCCTTGGGGAGCAGTTGGCCACTAGCCTGGGCAATTTCAAGTGCTTGGCGGGAGGGGATTTCAAAGACAAAAACACACACTGGAACCCAGCATGCTAGCACGATGTCACATGGGAGGCCACTCATTCCAGCGGTGTCTGCATGCACACTCATGAGAAAACAAGAAGCAGTCGAGGACACCCGTGACAAGCACGTCTCCAGAGCCCCACATGAAGCTGCATCTGCTCCCTGTGGATCCCTGACAGCCATGCAGTGACATTGCAACACATGGCAGGCTACAGGAGGTGGAGAAGGGACACAGATGGGAATGTTTCGAGAACACACCACAGAGGTGACCAGGGACAGACATAATGGCCAAGAAGGCCTGCAGATGGTGTCAAGGCTCAAGTTGCCCCCAAACAGACAAGTACCAATTTCACCCCTGCCATGGCTGTCCTAACCCTCTGCTTCCATTTGTTGGTCGGTTCTTCTGGACCATTCCGGCGCTTCTGAGGGTGGGTGGGGGAAAGAGAGCACTGGATGGTGGAACTGGGTGGGGTACTTCGGATCTTGGGTGGGGATGTAGGTCTAGGCAATGGCTCGCTTTCCTTGTGAGTACCATCTGCCAAGGCCAACCAGGGCTCTGGGCATTTTAAACAAGTTAACACACAACAGAGACTCAATTCAAGGTCAGGGCAAGGGGATCTAGAAGTTTCTAAAATAAAGAACCCAGCATATAGTCCCCATAGGCACCCTCAGCCTTGTATCACATGTAGTGTCACATGCCTGTAATCCCAGCACTCTGAGATAGATACAAGAGGATTAGAAATTCAAGGTCATCCTTAGTTACATAGCTAGTTGGGGGCCAGCCTGAGCCCCCAACTGTGTTAGGTCTGTGTTTAAGACACAGACCCTGTCTTAAAATCAAAACCATGGGCCCGTAAGAAGGTCAGCCAGTAAAAGTGCTTATGACCAAGATGGATGGCCTCATTTGAATACTTCAGGCTCCACACTGTGGAAAGAGAAGACAGACTCCCCAAAGATGGCTTTCTGATCTCTACACATGTGCTGTGGCATGCACATACAAATAAATATAATATATATACATATAAAAAGAACAAAACCACATGAAGTAATTTTGTTCCATAACTGAGGGAAACCAATGCAAATCAGTCACTGTGAGCCACAGGAGACAGAAGAGAGAATGTGTCCATATGAAACCACAGGCTCAGGGCCACCACCTTCCTGGAAGCTTACAAAAAACAAATAAACAAAAACAAATAAACAAAAAACCCAACTCTCCAACATCTTTGTGGTTCTCTCACGATCCAAGAGCTGGGGCTGAAACTGAGCCTGGATGAGGCAGCCGCTGTTCTCTGAAGTTGCTGCTGTGATGGGTGTGGTGTGGTGTGTGGTGGCTGCAAGCCTCTGCGGTTCATGAATGAGTGAAACACTTCTCTGTATTCATTCCAATCTAAGATGTGTGACCAGAGAGCCACTGTCCCATGGCTCTGGGGACTCAGGCTGACTCCTGAGGTTTCTCCACCCAGACTTAAATTTGGGGAGGTGCCCTGGAGACTCGAAGACATGATGGAGGCTTGTAGGTTCTCACTTGGGGGCCACTAGGCTATTTACAGATGGGACTGCTGGGTTGATCTGGTCAGACAGACGGCTTCCAGTTGATGTATTCAACCCTTGGGCTGCATGTGGCCCACAGCTATGGCTGTGGACCAACATAAAATTGTAAACTTTAAATACTATGGGTTTTTTTTTTTTTTTTGCTATTTTGTTTGTAATTTGATTGTAAGGTTGTCTCAGCTCTGTAATGACAGTTATGCCTCAGTATCAGAATGCTGTACACGCCTGTCCTGCTGCTTGCTTATATAATTTCATTCTTTTTGAGACATGGTCTCAGTGTATTGCCCTGACTGTTCTAGAACTCTCTGTGTACACCAGGATGGCAAAGATCTGCCTGCCTCTGCCTCCCAAGCACTGGAATTAAAGGTGTGCACCCTCACACTTGGCTGTGATTACTTTTTGTGCCATTGAGTCCTGCTCAGTCTCTGGGGGTATTCTGGTAGATCCTTCCTGGATATAGATAGGATGGGGCCTTGCACCTGGCCTGCCTGCAGCCTCTGCTGTGCCCACCTCCATGTAATTGTGACAAGCTTAACCCTCAGGCTTCTTGGTACCATGAGCTCAGTGCCCAGGACACAATGACAAGGTAAGAGTCCAGGGTTTATCCTAGTCATTCCAGAGGCCAAGGGTTTCAAAGGTCAGGAAAACCATGAACCTGGAAGAGTAACCTCTAACTGCCCAGTACTGCCCAGTACCAATACGACTTTCTCCAGCCTTAGTGAGGAGCCAGTAGCCTGGGGTTCCTGGTCTATCTCACCTTATGAGAAAATTAGAGGTGTGCAAGAATGCAGGCCACACACACACACAAGCTGCCAATCAGAACAAGAGGCTTGGGGACAGTTTATTATAAAAAAAAAAGACTGTTCCCTGGAGCACATCACAACACCCACATCTTCTCCCTATCCCTATGTTCTAGAGAAACAAGAAGTTCAGGGACCTGGGTCTACAAATGCTTCCAACTCATTGTTCAACACATAACACAGGTTTCACAGGGTGGCGTGGAGCCTTCCCAGGAACCAGATCCCAATGTGACATGTTTGCTGAAGTTGAGTTCACTCTCAGAATACATCAGGGGACAGTCTAGAGCAGGACTGAGCTAGTTCTGGCCCTTTGGTCCAATCTGACCTCTGGCCTGTTTTTGTAAGTAAAGTTTTATGGGAACACAGTCTTGCATCCTTGTTTACCTTTTTTCAACAGCCCTGTTCATGCTACAATGACAGAGCTTTTTCAGCATAAAATATTTACTATCTGAGCTGAGCCCTGGTCTGCAGAGAACACACAGTATTTGTTGACATCTGTCTACACCTGAGAACACATAGTTTTTTCTGACTCTTGGTCACACCTGGTAAGTGTTCAACGTTTATTGAGTCCTGGTCATACCTGATGAAAACCAGTGTTTGCTGACCCCTCATCACACCTCAGACACACATTATTTGCTGACCTCTAGTCACACCTCAGACACAGTGCTTTGCTGACTCCTGGTCACAACATAGACACAGTGTTTACTGACCCATGGTCACATCTAGACACAAAGTGTTTGCTGACCTGACTTCTGGTCACATCTCAGATACACACTATTTGCTGACCCCTGGTCAACATGGCAGACAGTGTTTGCTGATCCCTGATTAATACCACAGAAACATAGCTTGCTGACCCCTAGTCACACCTAGACAGACAGTGTTTGCTGACCCTGGTCACACCTCAGACTCACAGCATCTCACTCTGGGAAGTCAATAGCAGAACCTGTACCTCTTTGTTTCTGGATTCTTTTCTCAGTGACTTCTCTAAGACTCTGGCTTCATACTCTGCTCTGGGATGATCCTGAGAAAGACAGCAAGTCAAGAGAGGAAGTGTTAGTGTTGAGTCCACCTCCATCCATGTGAGTCCATGTATTTGCTTCGGGGACCCTGGGGACCAGTTCACAGCTGGCTGTCATATTTCCAACATCGAACTCCCTGTACTTGGCCTGAATCTGGGTCCAGGACACTCCCTCTGTTAGGAACCCCAGCTCAATGGAATGGCCAGAGGGTCTGGCTTCTGTGTCCTGCAGGAGGTCTTGGCTGTACCAGGCAGGAATGAACACCCAGCTGTGAACTGACCCTCTGAAAGTTTCTGTGGAGTAGCCATGGGGGTCAAAAGAGAGGCAGCAAGCGCAGGCAGGCTGGAGGTGCCAGGCCTTGGGGAGCCCAGTGCAATTCAGCGGAAGGTGCTGGAAGGAAAGAACAAGTTAGGTAAGACTGGAGAAAGCAGAGCCCAGGTGAGAGCCATGAGGAGACGTTGGGTGGAAAGACAGGAGCATGTGTGCGCAGGTACCTCTCCCCAGAGACAGGCTAGAGGAAGGCAGAGTGACCAAAAAAATATTCCAAACCTTGACAGCTTCCTGTGGGGAAATGGGAATAAAGACAAAAACAGAGAGAGCCATTACTGATGCTGTTTATCCATAGAGCCAGGATGATGGCAGTGTCCAGCAAGACAGGGGGCTGGGTGTTTGTTGCTCCCAGATTCCACTTTTGCAACTTTCCACAATTCTCAGATTCAATGGAGAAACACATAGGACAGTGACCCAACTCCCTCCTGCTTCCATCCAACCTGGGGTTCAGACCCGAGGCATTCACTCCCCCAGGACTGTGGTCAGCATGAGTGGCTCACTTTGGGCGACTGACTCAGGCCCACTGGAGTAGTATGCCCAGTGGCCTAAGGACTATCTCTTAGAAATCAAGCCCTAGGGGTAAAGAGGTCAAAGGTGGAGAGTGGTGAGTCGCTCCCCTCTGCTTTCAGAACACCTTGGAAATATTTTCTAAGCTACTGTGACCGTAAGATCCAGCTGTCATTTCTTCTATTGGAATTGTCAACATGGAAACAGAACCAAGGAGAGGGCCCACCCAGGCCAGAGCTCCTGCCCTATACATAGAGCACCAGTCACTTGTGAAAGGGACTCACTGCAGAAGAGGGCAGACACTGTTACACAGGTGGGTGGCAGGTGAGGCTCGGCTACAGCTAGAGTAATTCTCTGGGAGGTTTAACCATGAGAGAGGCACTAGCAATGTAGCTGAGATGGGAGAGTGTTTGCCTAGCATGCATAAGGCCATGGATTAGATCCCTAGCAAATGTGGCAAAACATACCAGCCTGCAATACCAACACTCCAGAGGTAGAGCCTGGAGGGTTGGGAGCTCAAGGTTATCCTTGACTATGCAGCAAGTTGGAGGCCAGCCTGAGCTATATGTGATCTTCTCAGAGAGAGATAGGGGCAGGCAGGAGGAAGGGAAAGAGAGAGAGGAGAGGGGAGGGAAGGGGAAAGGAAAGGGGAAGGGAAGGGAGGGGAGGGGAGGCGAGGGGGAAAGAGAGAGGAGAGGGGAGGGAAGGGGAAAGGAAAGGGGAAGGGAAGGGAGGGGAGGGGAGGCGAGGGGGAAAGAGATAAGAGAAGTATGCCACTAGGTATGCCTCAGCTCTGTAACTCCAGCTCTCAGGAGGCCAGGTCCTGAAGACTGTACTATAGAAAGTGTGAGGCCAGCCTGGGCTACAGAGTGAAATGGCATGCACCAGGCCATGGCTGTGTCTCAACACCTGAAGGGAACAGCCCCTCTGCTCTTCTTGGGTGGGTGGGGGCCAGTACCTCTTAATCACCCTAACAAGGAATTACTGCTGAGATGACAGTCAGGGGACTCTGGGGAGACTCATTCTCCCTGACTCCAGGGCCATCTACCACTGGGCACCTCCTCTTTGGAACCCAGCCATGTTTGCAGGGAGCCAGTTGGTAAAGGTCTGCTGGGCTCCTCAACCTCCCGACTGCAGGCTGGGGGATGGTTTGCACAGTGAGGAAGGCGGTCTGTGGACAGCAGTGACTTCCTGCCCACACCCCACAGCCCCAGATGTGATGAGGTCAGTGTGTAGAGCCCCGGCCAGCACCCGAGCCCACACTCGTGGGTGTTGTGTCTTTGGAAGCATGGAGACAGAAAACACTGGCCGATGGAAAACCGTTGCCCTGGCAACCAAGGAATACCAGGGTGATGAGTGGAGGAGCCACAGGAACCGCGCCTGGGATCAAGGGCCAGTCAGGACCTGGGGCATCCACGTGAGCCAGAGGAGGTGGCAGAGGGGGCTTTGGGGAGGGCAGGCACAGCCACTCACCTCCTCCTCCTCGAAACCTGTGAGGTCCCAGCGATAGTTGAGTCTCATCTGCTTCCGTTTCCAGTGCTCCATGAAGGTGGCAGCTGTGGGATGGTGGAAAGCAATCAGGGCCACTGAGTGCCCTGGACAACACTGTGACATGCCACTGGATGAGTAAAGGCCAAAGACACACAAGTGAACAGGTTCAGCCCTCTCACCCTGCCTGGACATTGCTTTCCCACTCTGCAGATGAGGAAACTGAGGTAAACTCTGGCCAAGGTCACTCAGGCAGGCAGAGAGGGGTGGGCTGGCCAGCGTCTGAGCTTGGGTCTCTAGTAACCCTTTTGGGGATCCTGGGCACAAATGTTGGGAGGTTTCAAGGGTAGGGTTAGCTAGACACTCACAATAGCATCAAGCTCCATAGGCATTCCCTGTGTCTGTCCCGAGTGCACCACTGGCCACTGTCCTGTGACATTTATTATTTAGAGGCAGGGTTTCATGTACCCAAGGCTGGCATTGAACTTGCTGTGTTGTGTGGCCATGGTGGTGGGTTTACCTGTCATCTTGCTACAATCTAGAATCACTTAAGAAAGGAGTCTCAAGCCAGCAACTGTGTTGATCAGACTGGCTGCGGCCATGGGTATGTTTGCCGGGGATTGCCCTGATTGTCAAAGACCCACCCTGAAGGTGGGTGGCACCATTTCATGGACTGGGCCTTAAACAGTGCAAGTGAAGAAAGCTAGCTGAGGCCTCAGGACAGCAGCCACCACTGTTGCAGTCATTCCCACAGTGACTGTGGGAGACCTGTGACTGCTGTCTCCATCTCCCACCTCTGTGACTTCCCTCAGTGACAGACTGTAGCCTGGAGCTATAAGACAGATGGACCCTTTCCTCCCTAAGTTGTTTACATCAGGATGGTTTTTTGTTTGTTTGTTTGTTTGTTTTGCTTCTTGAGACAGGGTTTCTCTGTTTAATAGCCTTGGCTATCTTGGAACTCACTTTGTAGACCAGGCTGGCTTCAAACTCACAGAGATATGCCTGCCTCTGCCTCTTGAGTGCTGGGATTAAAGGCATGTGCTATTACTGCCCAGCTATGTCAGGGTGTTTTATCACAGCAACATATAGAAAACTAGAGCAGTATCTAAGGCTGGCCTTGAACTCCTGATTTTCCTGCCTCTACTTCCAGAGTGCACAGGTGTGAGCCACCATAGCCTGTGTTATATTCCATACAGACCAAATGTTCAAATGCCACCTTCTCCAGAAGAATCTGATGATACCACCCTCCCCAAAGGAAACACACACACACACACACACACACACACACACACACACACACACACACACACACACACTGATTGTAAGAAAACACTAGCCAAGGGCTCAAGGGCTGGAGAGATGCTTCAGTGATTAAGAACACTAACTGCTCTTGCAGAAGACCCAAGTTCAGTTCCCAGAACCCCTGCAGTGGTCACAACCACCAGTAACTTCAGTTCCAGGAGATCTGATGTCCTCTTCTGGCCTCTAAAAGTACTACACTCATGTGGTATGTATACATATACTCAGATGTACACAAATACATACAAAATAAATACATTTTATTTTTTAAATAAATCATTTTTATTTTATGTACACTGGTGTTTTTTGCTTGCATGAATGTCTGTATGAGGGCATCGGATCCCTTGGAACAGGAATCAGAGACAGTTGTGAGCTGCCATGTGGGTGCTGGGAATTGAACTCAGGACCTCTGGAAGAACAGCCAGTGCTCATAACTGCTGAGCTATCTCTCTAGCCCCAATAAATGCATTTTACAAGAAAGCATATCAGTGGACCCCTTACAGGAAGCTATGGTGTAGATATGACTGGAGCATCTCCCAAGACTCAGTGTTGAAATTTGATAACCACTGTGAACTAAGAAGACACTGGAAGCAAATCCCATTGTGCTATTTGGGGGTGGGGCCTTCAGAAGGCAATTAGTCTGCAGAATGGAGCCTGGTGAATGAGTCCCTGTGGCTTTGTGACAAGAGGAAAGAATTGCTTTCCATCTCTTTCCAAGTGAGGCCTTGCACTGCCCTATGATGCTGCCAACAACAAGGCCCTCCCCACAGGTGGGGGCTCTTGACCTTTAACCTCCAGTATCAGAATAAAAATGAACCTCTTTGCTTTATAAAGTTACCTGATCTCAGATATTACATTGTTGTATGAAGTCAAACTGTACAGGACCAATCCCAAACTGCATCTGTGTTGTTCCTGCCACCTTCCAGGACAGTCCCCATCCATGTGTGTGGGTAGGAATAGGGCCTAGCTCCTCTGTCCACAGTACTCAGCATGTACCTGACCCACACAGGCTCTCTGGTGTTCAATGATGGACAGGTGACTTTATGAACACACAGCTTGTAAAGACAGACACACTGGCTGACAGTTTGCTGTGAATACTACCCCCAGAAAGTCATCAGAGGCAGGGGGGTGGATGGCAGTCACAAGGTCATCAGAGCTTGAGATTCTCAGGCTACCACACGCAAAGTGTGCCTCCGTGAAACCCCACAGTTATGGGCCAGTATTGCTATTCCACTGTTTTACAGAGGAGGAAGCTGAGGCTCAAAAGCCACAAACTGCTTATCTGTTAAGTAGGGACATCAAGATAGAAATAAGGCATCCCAGATGGGAATTCCTGGTGGAAGTCAGAGCCCTGAGGACACGGCACTGTTACTACTGTCCCAGGACAAAGGGAGACACATCCTAATGCTCTTTCTTACTACTTCAAACCACTCTGGAAAGACAGCTCAGCAGTTAAGAGCACTGGCTGCTCTTGCAGAGGATTCAGGTTTGGTTCCCAGCATCCACAAAGCAACTCACAACCATCTGTAACTCCGATTCCAAGGGATCTGATTCACTCTTTTGGTCTCTTAGGGTACCAGACATACACGTGGTTCATAAATATATGTGCATGCAAAAAACTCATACACACAAAATAAAAACAAACTAAATCCTACTTCTGTGTAAGATTCAAAGCTGAGCTTCCTAGGAAGTGGGAACACAAGGGAACCTGGGTGAATAGGCATGGTGACTCATGTCTGTCATTCCAGCACTTGCAAGGACATGGCTGGAGACTCACCATGAGTTTTAGGACAACCTGTACTTCAGTATGAGTTCTTGTCTCAAATAAGGAAAAAAAAAAAGAAAAGAAAAGAAAAAAGAAGGAAACAAAACCTGGGAGCTGGCCAGATGGCTCAGTGGTTGAGAGCACTTTCTGCTCTCACAGAGGACCCGAATTCAATTGCCAGCACCCACATGGCACCTCACAGCCATCTGTAACTTCAATTTTAGGGGAGGGTCTGATGCCCTCTTCTGCTCCAATAGCTCACACATGTACACATAAACTCAATCAACACATAGCACACATATACAAATCAATCAATTAAAAAAAAAAACCCAGCCGGGCGTTGGTGGTGCATGCCTTTAATCCCAGCAGAGGCAGAGGCAGAGGCAGAGGCAGGCGGAGGCAGGCGGATCTCTGTGAGTTCGAGGCCAGCCTGGTCTCCAGAGCGAGTTCCAGGATAGGCTCCAAAGCCACACAGAGAAACCCTGTCTCGAAAAACAAACAAACAAACAAACAAACAAAAACCAAAAAACCAAAAAACCCAACCCAAACCGAACAGGCAAACAGGGTGAAGAGAATTCTCAAAAGGAGACATGCAAATGAGCAACAGGTTTATGGAAGGGTTCAGCCTCTCACCAAGAGGACCAAAAAACACAACCACAGCAAGTCAAACAAAAGATAAATAAATGAAAAACAAAATCCTTCCCCATCACAGTCAGAACAAAAACTCCCAAAAGACCCCCTCCAAAAAAAAAAAAAACAAAAAACAAAAAAAAAAAAAAACAAATGCTAGTAAGGTCACAAAGAAAGGGGAAAACAAAAAAAAAAAACACAAATGCTAGTCAGGTCACAAAGAAAGGGGAGTGTTTGCTATGTCTGGTGGGAGAGTAGTACACAGTCACAGCTGATGTTAAAGCAGCAAGCAGCACAAAGGGCCTCAGAAACCTAGGGCCGGGGCCACGATGCCATCAGCCATCAGCCATCAGCCATCAGTCATCCTGCTGCTGGGAGTCTATCCAAGGGCAGTGACAGCAGCCCTAAGGGAAGATGTCTGCCCCCCTGCATAGGGCAGCGCTGTTCAGGACAGCTAAGAGGCAGAGCACACATGAGTGAATGGGTGGGTATGTGCTGGGTTCCATGCTCTAGGACACACTACCCATTATGTCCTAGTCAGACATAAGGAGGTGAAACTGTCATTTTTAGTCACATGGTGGGATCAAGAGGCCATGACAAAAAGCTCAAGCACAGGAATGGAGGCTAAGAAGATGGAGGCATTGTCACCAGAAGGCCAGGAGCAGAGAAGAGCTGGAGAATATGGGAGCCTGCAGAGTCAGTAACAGAACTGGTGTTCCATGACAAGCAAGTGATTGATTACAGTCAACACTCTTGTATCATTAAGTGGATAAGTGATTACTGACAACATTCTTGTATCATTTGATTCTGATAACCGGAAGTCAGGACTGTGGCTGCCCTCAGCATAGAGATATGGAGGCTGTCAGCCTGGCAACCTCAGTGCTCTGAGCTGAGGACACTGAGCTCCCAAACACCCCAAATTCAACACTCCCAAACATCCTTCAGGACCCTAGAAGGGTTCTGTAAAACCCTTCCCTGCCCATGGGGAGGTAATGGGGGATGAGAGCCTTGCTTGGAGAGTCCATGGAAGGAGCCAGGCCCCAGAAGAGAGATGCCTCTGCCCTGGGACATGGCACTATGGCAGAGGCCAGGGCTAGACACACCTCCACCTGTCCCTGAAGTCCCCGTTTCTTATAGTGTTGGTGTCAGGGCCTTTATCTCCCTTATAACACACTCAGACCTCAGGCAGTCTGAGATGGCTGGGCTCCTCCCTTCTGCCTCCACTTGCCTCCTCTCCACACCCAGTGCCAGCTGCAGTCACTGACAGGCAGGAGAGCACCACACTGCTGTGGAGGTGGGGTAACCTCATGTCACCAGCACCAGAAACAGAAGGAATGATTCCATAAGAAAGAAAAACCAGACACCGAGGCTTGGGAGGAGCCATGCTGTGTCCAGAGGCAAGCCCAGAAAGGAATTCTGAACTGATTCTGGC